TGAGGTCAAGATATCGATCATGCGGTGTGTGTCTGCTTACCATACGTCTCGTATGTGTCTGGGATGGCTCGGAATGTTTGTTGGGGAGCGGCAGCGGCAGCTCGGACTGGTCGCGGTGGTTGCGTTGGCTTGCTTTGGTCGGACCCCATTCTGTCGTTGAGCACTTCAAAATTTGCAACGAAATTCGTACTTGCAGTTTGTATTATTAAAAAAACACAAGAATGTTGGTGTAGGACACAATTCAATTGTATTCAGCGAAACTTGCGGTGAATTCAATTGAAGAATTTAAAATAAATATCAATACTGTACCTGAATGACAACAAATCATATTTCAAAGGATGCTGTAAAAAAACACCCACGTCATTGACACAGGGCTGAACAATACAGTAATTACTAACTTCTGTCCCACTTATATTGCTCCATGCCACTTCTTCAGGATTTACAGTTCATGAGGATGTGTCGAGGACTATAAAGAAGTAATACTACTACACACAGTTATACTTTTAAACAGGCAATTCCAACAGCAATCTGAATATGTCAAACTCAAGTTATTTGTCCTAATATTGTGCACGCTATCCTAGAAAGAAAAGAGGAACGATGATCAATTTTCACTGCCCTCATCAATAACTCTTTAGCATTAATAGATGGTACTATCCATAGATAGAGGTTTTAGTACACTTACGTGGTACAGTGGAAACATGCAAAACTGTATAAGCTTATAGAAATTGTTGTGTCAATGACGTGGGTGTTTTTTTACAGCATCCTTTGAAATATGATTTGTTGTCATTCAGGTACAGTATTGATATTTATTTTAAATTCTTCAATTGAATTCACCGCAAGTTTCGCTGAATACAATTGAATTGTGTCCTACACCAACATTCTTGTGTTTTTTTAATAATACAAACTGCAAGTACGAATTTCGTTGCAAATTTTGAAGTGCTCAACGACAGAATGGGGTCCGACCAAAGCAAGCCAACGCAACCACCGCGACCAGTCCGAGCTGCCGCTGCCGCTCCCCAACAAACATTCCGAGCCATCCCAGACACATACGAGACGTATGGTAAGCAGACACACACCGCATGATCGATATCTTGACCTCAATTCTCCCAGAGCAACTGCAGGCGGCGTTGCGTCATTCGGGGTTGGAATCCTCGAACCTCATCCTGGCCATCGACTACACCAAGTCCAACACGGTGTGCCTCATAAGATATGAATCGTACTTATCGACCGATGTACGTGTAGTGGACTGGCCAGCGCTCGTTTCAAAACAAGTGCCTCCATGACATCGACCCGACCAACCAAGTGTGGAACCCGTACCAAGTACGTCGTCGTGCCCAATTCGTTTTCCTCGCCTCATCTCTTGCATCTTCAGTCTGTGATCCACATCCTTGGACGAACGCTGGAAGCATTTGACGACGACAAGTTGATTCCTGCGTTTGGGTTTGGCGATGCCACCACGGGCGGGCGAGCCTGTTTCCCATTTCTCACGAACGGCGACGTGTGCGTCGGCTTCGATCAAGTGCTGCAGCGATACAACCAGATCACACCGGGTATTGTCTTGTCGGGACCGACGAACTTTGCGCCCGTCATCCACGAAGCTATCCGCGTGTGCCAAGCCGAGCGCTCGTACCACATCCTGGTCATCGTCGCAGGTTCATCCAGCTCCCATGCGATGATGTCATGTCCGTATGTGAAATATGCGATACTGCTGTAGATGGACAAGTCACAAGCGAGCGCGAAACCATTGAAGCCATCGTCGCCGCGTCCAACTTTCCGCTTTGTACGCACTGACTCCTACATATATACTAACTTGCGATCTTGTTCGTGTGTAGCCATCATCATGGTGGGCGTGGGCGATGGGCCTTGGGTATGTATGCTCTCTCTTTGCATCAATGCGACCTTTGTGCTCATGTTCTCGTAGGACACGATGGAAAAGTTTGACGACCAACTGCCTTCCCGCCGCTTCGACAACTTTCAGTTCGTCGAGTACGCCAAGATGCTTCGGTTCAACCGCGTGAACCCGGAAGTGGGCTTTGCCACAGCGGCCCTCATGGAAATCCCAGAGCAGTACAAACTCATCCGCAAACTAGGCATGCTCTGAGATAATATAACCACGGGATGCTCGTGTATATATATAATTCCACGGGTGTAGGGTGTCAGGAGTAGTACTGACATTCATACCTGTGGGGGATGCAAATCTCTGAACTAAGTGAAGTTACTGTACTCTATTCAGTTGGATGTCCGCCCTGAGGTCTTAACGCTGGTTGGCATGGCCAACGGGTTTAGTCGATACTGACATGTCAGTGACAGACAGCCCCCGTGTATTTTAAGACTTATCTGTTTCACGCTGCTTGGTGACACGCGACTAAAGATAGCATTCACATGACGCCATGACGCCACCGGTGCCTTCCGTCCTCGCTCCGCCGCTGCACCCCATCGAACTGCTGGACCACCTTCTCGGCACCCTGCTCCTCGTACTTAGCCTCGGGTTCGTCTTGCTCGTCGAACTCACTCGGCGGCGCGTGCTGTCGCTACACCAACTGACGTTTTGCCTCGCCAGTGCCGTGTCCACACTGACCATCGGGGGCTTCGTCGAGCACAACGTTCCCAACGACGTGCTGGATCTGGCCCTCTTTGGCTATTACACCCAAACGTCCACGCTCCTCCAGCTTCGGTACGCGCCGCTCGTCGGTGCCGTCGTGGCCACAGTCGCCTTCCTTGTGTTCATTTCCCTGTGCTCGTGTCCATGTTGTTGTGTGGTTGATGGCGACGGGTCGCACCAACGCTGCGTGTTGACGCGCCTCCGTCACGCCCTCTCGGTGTACTGCCTCGCGCTGTTTGTGTTGTTCCTAGTCCTTGGAATGCGATTGAATGCCCGCATGAGACTCAGCGCCATCAAACCCGTCGGCGGAACGCTGCACTGGCAAATGCTGCAAACGCCGCTCTGCGTGTCGACCTTGCACGTTGGTAGCCTCGCCCTCGTCGTTTTGAAAGATGTGCTTCACCACGCAGCAGCACCGCCTTCCACTACATATCAACACAAGCCAGCCCACTCCCCTCCCTCCAACCAACTCCTTCAACCTATCCCCCAACGCCCACGTTCGCTGACGACAAACCCACAGGTACATCATCTGAATTTGCATTCGCCGCCCAACAATTCTCAATCGGTTTTACCAATAGACTATCCCGACCAAGTACCAGCAAGGAGGAGCCCTTCCGCACTCTCTGGGCCGCGTTCCTTCAAAATCCACCATATCCCCACCTCCTCGCCATCCCGCTGACGCTTCAGACGACGACTCAAAACCATCCGCCAAATCGTCGACACAGGTGGACAAGGCCCCTTCACAATCCGGCAGTCCCGCCCCCGAACCCCCCTTTCGCGGGTCGTCGTCTCCAAGAAGCAGCAACAAGAGCTCTGTCGTCCAACGGGTGTCTCCCGTCCGGCGCCGGGCTGCGACCGAACGCGACTCGACCCCTCCGCCCACCTTGACGCGCCGACGAGCCACCCCCGTCGCACAGTCCCCCGCCACCGCTGTGCCGTCTCCGGGGGACATGTCGGGCCTCATCAGCAGCGAAAGCGAAAGCGACGACGACGTGATTGTGCCGTCCGCTGTGCGGCAATTCACGTCCGAGTATGCCGTGGCCAATCGGCTCGTCGCGGGCATTTTTCGGGGTGGAATGCCTCGCCAAGATCGTCAGGACGACGTAGGCAACGACAACATGCCTAGTCCTACGAGTCCGTGGGTGTTGTGCTACGACGAAGCGACGGCAGCACCATATTACTACTGCCACGCCACTGGCGAAAGCAGGTGGGAGCTTCCCGAGACATCCGTAGGCGCCGCCGCCCCCGTGCATTCCAAATGGGAGTAAACACAACATGAAAACCACTCGCCAAGTCTCAATTTATCGTCCAGTTATGCACACTTTTTGTTTATGTGGAGGTTGTTGCCGTCGCATGTCTTCCATATATCTCTACTTGGCCGAGGAAGTCGACGGCGACTTTTTAAAGTAGTGGTAGATGAGCGAGTCCACAAACCCGGCAATCTACATCGTACTTGAGATGACATGATATTGTCCAGTCGATTCGAAATTGGATTGTTTGGGTGGTCATATCGAATGAACAGCAAGCACCAAATATATATATCGACCAATCAAAACCCAGAATATTAATCAAGTAGCCAATCAATCTCCACTCTTCGACCAATGCAACATCGCATTGGTGTGTGACTTCAATTAGTGTGATACTGACGATCTTTACATACTAAAGTCAAACAATCGATCGATAGGTTTGGCAAAGAATCAGCACAAAAGTCAGCCAAATTTCGGGTCAAAGAAAGACAATAATACATTGACCTTACCGACACCATGCCGCCGACGATGGCGCAGACGCGCATGAGAAAGTGAGTGAAGGGCACGGACGTCGCGTCCACTTGCACGACGAACGCCGAGAGTTCGAAGATGAAAAATACACCTGGCAGCACCGACATGGTGCCCCACGGGTCCAAGAATCGTGTTTGCTGCGTGTACGAGAACTACCAACGACGTCAACAACGACCAGTCAAAAGGTATCGGTACAGCAGTTTATACCTGGTTCGAATACCGGGTGGTCACGCCGTCGTTGTAAATCGTCGGCACGATTTTCAAAAAATACTGGTACACCGCGCCACCTGGATCAATAGAAGATTCAAACGTCCGTTAACACTCGATTTGAATCGCGAGCGACGGGGGATAAACGTTGTCTTTGCACCTCGATCCGCGGTTTTCGCCACGTTGTCCAACGGTCCCTTCATACCAGGGTACGGCTCTCCGAAATACAACCTAGACGTTAACGTCAACCAGACTTTTTTCGCTCGTATATATAACAACAACGTACTCGTGGATAATATGGCTGGAATTGTACGTGAATTGCTGGCCTGGCAAAAACTGATGGACGAGGCGGCCCTCGCGGTGGAACGTGCGGCCCAACCCGACGTGGAAGTTGCCGGCTACACGGTTGACGAACATGGAACCGTGCAAGCGACAGCCCTCGCCGTTCTTGGAGTCGACTTCTTCTTTGCCGCGCTCCCGCAGACATTGCTCGGTCGACTCGGCGTCGTCCAAGGTCTTGTCGCTCGTCATGAACGCTTCCTTCACCTGGTCGCATGTGTTGCAGCACGTCAGCCCTGAAGGATGCGTGTTGCCGTAGCAGCTCCCGCAGTAGTCGGCCGGGAGTGGCTCCAACGTTTCCGGGTGGGCGTTCGGTACGTGGGTCATGGCTTTGCCGATGGGAGTGCCGTCGGCCGCCAAGCGCGTCTTGAACACGGTGTGATGCATGTTCACTTGGAGATCCCCCGCGACGTCCATCGCGTTCATGTGCGCCTCTGCTCGACCAGTTAAATATCTTTGAAATGAGGTGGACCAACATACCACGGCACGTCAACGCGGGGTAGCTGATGTCAAACGTAATTTGAAGCTTCTCGGTCGTCGACGTGTCCACAACCATGTGCTCATGCTTGCTCACGGTCAAGAAGTCTCGTAGCTCCGACAGGAACAAAATAGCCATGATCACCATCGCCACCAGCGACACTAAGTGGTGGCATGCTGACCTTAGCAGAACACGACAAGGCGTACTATACCTGTGGCACCTGCCTCCGTTTGAACCTTGAACTCTCGATGGAGTTTGGGGTACACATCCACCTTCTTGAGAATCTGGCGCGTGCTGAACGAAGACTCCGTCGGCACAGCGCCGCCGTCGTCCCTGCCAGTGTTGCGCTGGCGAAGCATAGTGCTGTATAATCTCTGCGTACGTGGCTTGAAATGCGGAAGAACGGATACGATATCCGGATTGGCGGTATTGCTTGAAATTTGGCCAATCAGAGAGAACTCATGATCAAGTCCACATTCGTTTTCTGGACGAGATTGCGATGTGCTCGTTGATGCGCTGTCAACTTCGTCGTTCGTTCTCCACATCTAACAAGCGTCCGTCAAGACAAACGCTACGAGAGAGGTTGGCGTCTGGACCTTCATTGGCCCACTTCGTCAACGCTACCGATCCCCACGTCAGCGTTTCGACAACCGAAAGCAACATGGCGGTGCTTGACGACCTTATGGCACAATTGCAGCGTGGGGTATGACCTTATGCATGGTAGACATCTGCATGCCCTGATTGCGTTATGCAGGAACGCGAGGATCATCTTGTCGACACATTTGGTCGCGTGCACAACTACCTCCGCATCTCCCTCACTGAGCGGTGCAACTTGCGATGCCAGTACTGCATGCCCGAAGACGGCGTGCCATTGCAACCATCTTCGGACCTCCTCTCCGCGGCCGAGATCCTTCGACTCACGACATTGTTTGCCCAAGCGGGTGTGTCAAAGCTTCGACTTACAGGCGGCGAAGTAGTACACCCACGCGTCTTCCATGTTCAGCCCCTCTCACAACATCATTCTTCCTCCTTAGCCCCTCATTCGACCAGACATTGTGCCGCTGGCCGCGGCCCTGCACGCCATTCCCGGCATCGATTCTCTGGGCATCACGACCAACGGCTTGGTGCTGTCGAAGCACCTCGCGGCGCTGTGCGCACTGCCAGCGCGGCTCAACATCTCGCTCGACACATTGAACGAAGCCAAGTTTGCCAAGATCACGCGCCGCAACGGGTTCCAAAGGGTGTGGGCGGCAATTGAAGCGGCAGTAGCGGCATCCCCCGTGCAAGTTAAGCTGAACTGCGTAGTCATGCGCGACTTCAACCTGGACGAAGTGGCGGATTTTGTACGGCTGACAGCGCGTCTAAACGTGGACGTGCGCTTTATCGAGTGGATGCCGTTCGACCAGAACCGGTGGAACGACCAGACCTTCGTCCCCTTTGCAGAGATGCTAGCGGGTCTGCATGCCGCCTTCCCCGGCATCGCCCCCCTGGACAACCACCCGAACGACACGTCCAAGTCGTTTGCGCTGCCCGACGCCCCCGGCAGGTTCAGCTTCATCACGAGCATGAGCGAGCACTTTTGTGGCGGCTGCAACCGCCTGCGCCTCACCGCCGACGGCAACCTCAAGGTGTGCCTCTTTGGAAATGCCGAGGTGAGTCTGCGAGATGCCATGCGCCACGGAGGGTACTCGGACGACGACCTGCTTCTGGTCATCCAAGCCGCCGTCAAGCGGAAAAAGTTTGCACTCGGAGGCCATCGAGACATGCATGGCATTGCCAAGGCCCAGAACCGACCCATGATCCTCATCGGTGGCTAGACGTTAGCCGTACTACAAAATGTGTGCTTGAAGAACTCTCGTAAATGTCAAATCGATTCAAAACTGGACCTTACAGACAACGAAATAAATATAGATCCGCCTAAACCAATCAAATCACGTTCTGCGTGAATTTCTGCCAATCCAAAGTCTGATTGGGCACAACCTGATACTATTATATATATGTCAGCTTAGTACTAAACATTGCATGTTATAGTTTGTACAAGGTTAAATAGATTCAACTAATTGACTAAAAATAGTCCAAATTTGGGTGAAATGCACAATATCCGCTAACGTTACGTTACTCCAACAACCCTACTATATCGCTGGCATGACCATCATCGGGGTTCGTCGCTCGATTTGGCCGACAAAGGATGGAGCGTCTTGACACCGGCATCGATTACCGTAATCACGGACTAAGCCATCATTTGGCCCTTGTCCTCTTGCTTGGCGTAGCGATCTAGCGCGTTACAAGCTACAGCACCATCCACTTGGTGTGACCTAGTTGCGCCGTAGTCGTAGGCGTCCTTTCGATGTGTAGCTGGGCCTCCACGGAAGTCCCTTCTACTTGAGACTGCAGACTTCCTTCTACTTGAGGCTTCGTGGCCTTCTCCTACCATCTTCTCCTCCTTGACACGATAGATCTTGCTTTATGCTGTCGTCGCTTTAGTCTTTCGTTGCTTGAGACTTCATAAAACTCTTCTCTTGTCCAACTTTGACTCGTTAAAACGCACACACTTGTTCATGAGGTATTAGCAACATTGCCGTCTTCAAGATATGCACCAATGTATGCACTGGCGGTTTCTTGGTGGCCCCATCCGACATGTGACGTGTGGTATTAATCTAAGCATGCGTCAGAATTCCACATCAATAGATGCCAAATACATACCAGTGGACCGATCTCGGCGCTTCGGGCTGCTTTCGCGACGTCTGGGACTGCCACTATCGCTACGACTGCGTCGGTGTCGTCGTTTTTCAGACGGGGAGGCCGAACGTGAACGACGACGGGGCGATGAGCGACGTCTAGGCGACGAACGACGGCGGCGATCAGGACTGCGACTGCGGCTGCGACGCCCACCACCACCTCCACCACTGCGACCTTCTTGCTCTTGTTGACGCATTTGTTCTGGTGTTTTTCGGCGTTGTTGCGCAAACAAGACGCCGACTTCGGCACCATCGATGATTGTACGATCCATGGACTGCTTAACTTCCCTCGCCTCGCGAATGTCATGGAATTCAAGGAATGCAAATCCTCGTGGCTCGCCGGTGGCGTGGTCCTTGGGAATGTAGACATCGCGAATGTCCCCATTGCGACGAGAAAATTTGTCACGCAATTGATCTGCTGTGATATTGGCCGGCAAGCCACGAACGAGCAAACTTTGGGGGACCGGATCTCCGCGACGGGAACTGCGGTCTCGACTCCGACTCCGACTTCGGTCGCCCCTTCGATCACTACGACGGCGATCGCGAGAGTCACGTCGGTCACGAGACTCTCGGCGGTCACGGTTTCGCGGTGGACTGCGTGAAGCACTGGGGGAAGAGCTTGGACTGCGACGACCCATTGTCGTTGATCGTTGGCGACGACGACAGCAAAAGTAGAAATGGAAAAATAGCAGTACCTTTGTAGGGTGGGAAGAAATCTGAAACAACCAAAGATAATTGGCGAGATCCTGAAATTATGGAATGCTTTTAGCCAATCGAATTGATTATTCTATTGTATAAAATAGTGTGAAATCCATAGAACAATCACACTATTAACAAGCAAGTTCAAGTTCTGTAGGTTGTTCCACAATGAATTTTGAACGTTCCCGCCAAAACTTTTGACAAGTGTAGTGTAGCCTCATCAGGACCCACGTAAACCCCGGTCTACCGGTAGTGGCCTCTGTCTGGGGACTATGAAGAAGACCAATATGTCTTCACGTTCTTCTTTGGCATGGCCTTGTACCTGGTGATCTTTTGGTACTTCTCGACCCCGTTGTATTGGTGGTCGCCACTGCCCATGATGGCGTGCATGATGGTGGTGTCGTTGATCGAAGGGCTGATCTGCCGCGTGTTCTGCACCGTGGACGACTAGGGCAACATCATCCCCAACTACAGTACAGGTCTGCGTTCAAGGTCAATATGCGCAAGCTTAACGCGCTCAAGTCGATCAACGCAGGCAACATCGCGCCGGGACGACCTGGTGAACATCATTGTGTTCACACGGGCGTCGGCGACGGACTCGCAGAGCCCGTGGGCATCATGTGGGGCAAACACAAGTCTGTACAGTACAAGACCACCGCGTGATTCTTGTCGGTGCGTACACCCGCAGCTGGGAAGGGTCGGCGTGCGTATTTCTGTCGGGCATAGTCATCCCCGCGCTGCAGTGCGCCAACTTTGACAACTTCACAATTGCTCGTGTCCATGCTCGTGTTGCCCCCCACACCATGGACACCCCCGTCCTCATGATCGGATGCGGCGTCATCCTGTGGTACGTATTTGATCTATAAACCAGTCAATAAGTCGCTTGTCTAACAGAACAACTGAAAGTGCACATCGGCCATGACATGCATTAACTCGGGTACACATACTAGTACAGTAATTTCTCTGAGCTCGTGATTGATGACCGATATCACCAATTATAATGGACACGTTTCATCAAGTTGACAGTGCAAAGTGCACTTGGCCTAGTTGTTTTGGTGAAAACACCCCGGTAATACTGAAGCATTTCTATCGTTAACGTTATTACAAAAATCCAACGCAGAAAATGCACACTAGTAGTGTGGACGTTTGCTCGAGATATGTCAAACACAATGACCAACTTCATCCTCCATGTACTACATAGTATGTAGTGCTTGTGTATGTAGTACATACACAAGTACTGTCGCTTCACCTAAATGATGGATATGCAATGCAAGTGCTGTTGTTCTAGTGCCCGGTAGAACAATGAACGCTCTAACGTTACTGTAGTGACGCAAGCCATCGGAGCTAATTTTGCCGGCCTATTCGTATCATGCTGTACAGAATGTGACCGACGTCACCAAATAAAACAAGTTTGTTACACGAACGTGTCATCATTTCAACATGCACCCCCCTGGATCTCGGGCACATCTGAATCTCGTCCGGAAAGCTTCCGCGGCACATTCGCAAACCTCCGACGAACCTCGCCCCATACAAACGTGCATATATATCTCAGTTTCGAGTTGGGTGCGTTGTCGCAATGCAAACGCGCGGCGATGAACGCCGCAGTGGCGACATGGAGCTCGGTCGAAGGCCGTCTGATGGTTTGGTGACACCTGACCCCCACCCCCGCCACAGCAGCATGGACTTGGACGATCAAAGTCGACCACGAGAAAGCAGTTGGCTGTATCGATCCACTCAAGATGCCGAGAGCCTGGCGAACCTCGATGGGGTTGACTGGGCGGAATTACGCGCCAGTGACGGCGATACTGTAGCGCCGATCCTGCCATCCACGAGTCGAAGCCTGTGCGTTGTATCTGCCGCCACCATCCACGACTGCACTTTACCCAAACTAAAGAAGCAACCGTCCAACAGCAACCTGATAGACACGATCATGGCCAAGTCCAGCAAAGGGGCGATGACCAAACAAAAGCAAAAACATGGGCAGCAGTGGACAACGTGCGTGACTCCAGTCACAATCAAGGAGTCTCATCCACAGGCTGCTCTTGGCCCTTTGATCCCTGTGGTATGGGTCCTCGGAAGCGTTGCCTCCGTCTCGTCCACTCTCGTCGGCGCGGCACTTTATCATTCAGACGTGTTGCGATCGGGATTGTCGCTCGAGTCCTTTCCCCGCGCGACGCTCATCCTCGTGGTTCACATTGCCCTTGGCGTGTCGTCGTTTGTTGGAGGAGTCGTGGGGGATCGAGCCATCCATCGCATGCACGTCGTACGTGGAAGTGTGTGGCTGTGGTGCATCGGCGCGGTCATCTTGGCCGTGGGGGGGCACCCCTTCGTGGCCTCTCGAGGGCTTTACGTAACCGGCCTCATCTTGGCGTTTGTCGCGGCTGGTGGACTCATGCCCAACCTCGTCGCCACAGTCTCTCTTGTAATCATCTACTCCATGTACACCCGATGCCCTACTAACCAACGCTTCACGAGTAGGGTCCAATATTCCTCCAATGCGCTCTCGTTCAACTAGCCGGCACATCCCTCACCCACGGCCTCTTTACTCCTTTCCCCTCTGCCTCTACTATGGCGTACATCCTCGTTGCCCTTTTGACTCTACTATCGACGGCAACACTGGTCGGGATGCACTTGGCTACGTACCGTCGATGGCTTGGTCCTGCTCCTGCCCCTGTGGCCAGCTTGGGAGTGTATGTCTCCAGAATCTCGCTGCTCTGGAGGGGGTACTTTGCAGGTGTCCTGTGTATGATCGTGGGGGGTGCTGTTTGCGCCATGAGTCTCGTTTGCGTCCACGACGACTCGCGTTTATATGGAAGTCAGTTTGCCGTGGCTACTGCGGGTGTCATCCTCGTCGTCGTGGGGTGGCTCTGGACGTTGTTCTGGGGAGTCGCTATGGTGCATCCTTCAGGGGCGCTGCGGGCATGGGCAGCTCCGTCATCTCTAGTTTCGCCCCCCACTTCTCCCGTTGAACCCACAAACAGTATCATGAGTCCTCCCGATCTATCGGACTCAATTCCCCCTATGGGGGGTCAAATGGACTGCTTGGCCCCCATCCTGGCGATGGCTGTGTTTTCCTCGTTTGTGCGGGGCCAGCTGTACACGATGTACATCCTCCAAGCCTGCCAATGCTCCCTTCGACTCGTAGGGGGGATCACATACACCCCAGAATACACAGCCGTGATAGTCCATGTCGTGGCACTAGCGGTTGCACCAGGAGTTCCCCGAATGTTGCCAAGATTGCCACCTCGTCTTGGCTTGGCCATGCTGTTGTACCTCATCGCATCCTTCCTGTCGGGGATAGTGGAGCTGTATCGACGAAGCAGTAGTCGCATCGGCGGCCACGACTTGGAACTTGTCGACAGAACCGGACCAACATGCTACAAGAATCCAAGCGTATTCAGCATCCTATGGACCACGCCCCAACTAGCGCTCGTGGGAATCTCGGAAGGAATATTTCAATCCACAGTGGGGTATGTGGTGCACCAGGCGTGGCCTCCGATGTTCCGCGGGCTTGGACACGGTCTTTTGGCCTTGTGTCATGGCGTGGGGTATTCCACGGCGCTAGGGATTTCGATGGTCGTGGCAAGATGGTTCACGGCACCTGCGCCAGCAGACCTCGTGCTTGTGTTCCTACTCGTGACGTCCATGGGCTGCGCTGTGATCGCGTGCATGAAGCGGCTGCTCGTTCTCGACGAACGACATCGAATATGGCCCGATTTATTGCCATCAACTTGACGTTAGTAGGAAAACTAGTGTGTGACTTAAATTAGTGTGATACTTGATGACCACCTTTACATACAAAAGTCAAAGAATCGAGATTTGGCGAATCAGCCCAAAAGTCCAAATTTTGGGTAAAAGGACAATATCAACCGGACACATGGACGCCTGAACTCACGGAATTGCAACCTGGTTCCCGCCCATTCATTGGCTGCTGAAAATAATTTTAGCCAATCCGACAGGGCAATCACCGAAGATTCCCAAACAAGTGCTGCTTGCAGTCAACCTTTCGACATCATGGCGGCGCCGTGGTCATGGGTCAGCTTGGACGGCAAGAGTGTGGCGGCCATCTCAAGTCACAACCGCATTGACATTGTGGACACGCAAGACTTCTCCCTCCTCGGGCGCATCGAAGGCAATCTCATGTCGTCAACGCCTTTCCATGAGCATGCGATCGTCCGCACGATCTGGAACTCCCGTCGGGTATGCTTGCTTTCCCTTTCGTCGACCGCGCTACTGCTGCACACACCCGATCGCGACAAGAAGCTTCCGTGCAGCAGCTTTACACTGCAATGGCACCTGCCTCTCGACCCCGACACCGTGTCGGACGTGGCATTTTCACGATGCGGGCAGACGCTTCTCCTAGGCGGCCCCGGCGGCCTCGCGGTGTGGAACGCCACCTCTCCCACGGATTTTGAATTCTGGTGGCAAGACTCGACTCATCCATGCGACTTTGTCGTGTTTTCCCCGTGTCGAACGGTGTTTGCATCCCACGCCACCCTCTCCACCGAAGTATACGTGTTCCGGCACGCCGGTGTCGCCGGGAGCCTCCCTCACGCCCAAGTGCTTGGCCATGACGAAGAAGTCGAGTATATCTCATGGAAACCGACGCATTACCAGCCGCAGACGAGCGACGATCACGATGGCACGCGGCCTTCGCAATGGGACGAGCCGGCGTGCGTCCTCCTCACGCTCACGCGATCCAAGACGATCCGGATCTGGACCGAGCAGCCGCCTCCCCCGTCCTCGTCTGGCGATGGCGCGGGGGTCGTCATGACGTGCATCGTGTTCCTCCAACCGTCGCCCGGCATGGACATCGTGCACGCCCAGTGGATCGTCCCTCGTGCGCAAAACATCAGCCAGGAGTACTTTGGCCCGGCGGCGTCGGCGGCCGCCCTTCCGCGCGAACGGCTGCAAGACTGGCTTAGCGTCGTCGACTCCAAGGGCATTTTGCACGTGTGGACCGTCGACGCGCTGCATTTGCCGACGCAGAGCCAGCTGCTGCAAACCGGGTTCGTGTTCAAAGTGGACGGCGAAGACGACGAAAGCCTCGACGATGTGTCGCTCGTGTCGTCATATCAGATAGCCGGGTACGCTTCCCAAGGGTTCCTCTCCAGTGTGTCCATCCTGCTCGAACGCACGGACCAGGTGCTGCTCAGCTACCAAGTGGCATGGACGCCGAATCATCCACCGGTGCTCAAGGACAAGAGCTGGTACCGCGGCCACACGGCGCCCATCGCCGCGCTCGCGACGCATCCATCGCTGCCCCTCGTTGTGTCGGTGAGCCATCCCCGCGACGGCACGACGAGCGAGCTCATCATCTTCTGGCTGTCGCTGTCCATGTTTACAAGCGAGTCACACTTTGTGCCGTCGTGCATATTGCAAGGCCCGCCCATTTCGGCGGTGCATTGGATTCCGACGCGGCACTTCCAGGCGCGGCCGCTGCTGCTGATTTCGTACGCCAGTGGGCGGTGGGAGATCTACAGTCCGTTCGAGTCGCAGCTGTCGACGCTGCTCGAGTCGCCGCGCCTCCGCCACCAACTATCATCATCTACCTCGCATGCGAGAACTCGGAATGAAACCATGGTGTATCCGTGGATGTACCACGAGCACGCGCTGGGCGAGTCGGGCTTTGAGTACGAAGTGTCGTTGGTTCCCCACCCAGAGTTTGGGCTCGGGCTCACGTTTACGTTGCTCAACGACAAGATTGTCGTCGCTGGCTTCACGACCGGAAAGACTAGTAGTAGCGGCGACATCGACGCATCAAACGCGGCGGGTGATGCGGACGAGACAAGTTCAACCCGAGTTGAGCTCCCGGCGGCCGCGAGTCGGCAGATCAGCCTCCACGACGAGTGTGTGTCTGTCAACACCGTGTCCATGAAGGGCAAAATGCCCGTGGACTTAAAAGCCGCCGTGGCCGCCGCCCCACCGCACACCTCCATCACGATGCGGTTCCGGACGCCAGGGTCGCGCCATGGCTTTGACCAGTCGCCGTCGGTCACAGGGGAGCGCCACCACTGGTCCATGTCGTCGCAGGATGGCGAGTCCGACGACAGCAACCACAGCGGCCGCGACGACCTTGACGTCGACGAGCATGGCGATGACAATGCTGCTGGGGACGAAGACGGCGGTGACGACGACGTGCGCAAGCAGTCGCACGGTCGGGGCAACACCCACAGCCGCCGCCGCACCGCCGTCCGCCACCGTCGGTTGACTCAAAACGTCGTGAGCGGGGGGTCGATCTCCAAGTTTGGTGGGTGGTCGTCGCTCGGGCACGTCGTGCTGCCAACAGCCGCGTACGCCGACTTGGCCGTGGCGCCATTGTACTCTGACGTGGGCAACTTTGTGTCGGACGCGGTCGTGTTTTTCGGGGTCACGGACGCCCGCGAGTTGCATTGCTGGCTCGGGGTCGAGTCCCGCAAAGGCGAGTTTGAGTTTGTCCAGCTCAACATCACGGCGCCGAGTAAACTCGTGGGCATCACAACTGTGGGGACGGAGCGGGACTACCGCCAGCGGGCGTTCGAAGCGTCCGAGCCTGGTGGTGGATCGACCGATGCGACCCCCGTGTGGAATGCGCTCCTGTTTGTCGGGGACGACGGCGGTCGCCTCCACCACTGGCGCTGCCGCGTGTCACAGTCGTCCCGGACCATGGACATGTCTTTGGTGCACTCGTCGTCGCCGCCGCCGCCGTCTTCATCGTCGCCGTCCCCCGCTGCGTCGTTGCACCCGTCGGCGTTCTTTCGACGGGGCTACACTACGACCCCTTCACCATCGATCGATGATGCAATCGGCGGACGTGGCGGGGTATTCCACATGGAACTCGACGACCCGAACCGGTTGGCCGTCGTGTACACGGACCAGCCGGAATCTCTCTACATTTGGGAAGGCGAGTCTGGCCTCGGGATGCTCCGTCTCGAGGCGGTGGTCACCTCTGAAGGACGCGGGTCCATCGTCGGCTTTTGCTGGTGCAGCGGCCACGTCGAGTTCCACGTCGATCCGCTGGCCGTGCACTTTGCCACGAGCTTAGTCATCTACTCGTACGATCTGCACCAGCAGACATGGGTGGCACAGAGTGAGCAGTCGGTGTTTTACCCGCTCTTCGACTGCACGCGCGACGCGTCGGCGTTGATCCTGGCGGCAGGGTCTTCGTTTCCAGTGAGTACCGTGTCGTACCACGAAGTGCCCACGGTGCTGGGCAAGTGGGATGTGCACCGACTCGCCGCCAACCAGACCGACTCGACGCGCCCGTCTGACCAAAAGCACTGTCCAGTGTGGCACCCGTACACGGTCCTCACGACGCTGTGCGGGATGCCCGCTCGCGTCGGGCTCACCCACACAACACTGGCCGACTACCGCCCCGCGTACGACGTCCAACTGGCGTTCGGGGAAGCCGAACAGATGCTCAAACTGCTCGCGCACGTGCTAGAGGACGACGCGTCGACCGACTTAAGTGCAGAAAACGGCGTGCTCGTCTACCTCCACGAGAACAAAACGTTTGGCCGGCGGGCGTCTATGGGTCGCTTCGCCGCCAACACCCCCACCGCGGCGGCGACGTCGTCCTCATCGTCCTCGTCGGGGCTAAGTCGGGCCGAAGACCTGTTTGCGCCGACACAGCCCACGTCGTCCAACAACAACATGTCGAGTTCTGTAGATCCGTCGCAGGAATGCCTCACCGCACGGGAAGTGGACACACTCGTGACGGCGCTAGACGCGGTGCTTCGACGACACACGCAAAAGGTGGCGGTGCGCTACGAAGACCAGGAGCACCGCAACGCGTACGTGCTGTTCGACTCGTTTGAGCTCGAGCACGTGCTGGAGCTCAAGGGGCTGCTCCTGTTTGTGCAGAAAATGCAGTCATGCCTTCTCAACGGGTACGACATGCCAGCGCAGCGCTACTTTGTCGCGTACCTCCTCACCACGTGCCTCCAAGAAGTGATGCAAAAGACAGAAGACTACGTGGCCGTGTCCAATGAACCCCTGGCGCGCTACGAAGACAGCTCGTCGGGGCTGTTTGTGCCTACCGTGGACTCGTACTTGCACGAGATTCCGTCGTCCAGCGTGCTCTGGGCGCTGCACTCGCAGTCGCAGAACCTGCTCATGGACCAGTGCATCCACCCGCAAGCGCTCTGGGACGACCTTCGCCCCCTCTGGCCAGGTCTGTGGGTGCGCGACCCGACCAAACTGCGCTCGATCATGGAAAAGTACGTTCATCTTCCCTATGTACATCTAGCACTCGAATAATGCGCCTCTCCATCTTGATTTTAGGGTCGCAAAGTGCACGTTTACACGCACAAAGGACGCCATGAGTGTCAGTTTGCTGTACATTGCGTTGAAGAAACACACAATTCTCGGGGCTCTGGCCAAAGTGTCCAAGGTCGACTCAAACAAGGTCAGTCAGTACACCCCCCCCTCCCTTCCCATTGTGACAAGTGCATATTGCTGTTGTATATGTAGACGTTGGCCGACTTTCTCGCGCACGACTTTACCGACGAGCGATGGAGCGTCGCGGCCATTCGCAATGCGTACTCGCTCTTGCGCAAGAAACAGTACGAGCTCGCGGCGGCCTTCTTCCTTCTGCCGACCCCCCCGCGGCTCCAAGAGTCGCTCCGGATCATCATCGGGCGGCTGCACGACCCGAGCTTGGCCATGGTCGTGGCGCGCCTCGTCGAGTTCGACCAGCTGCCGCCGACCCACGGCAGCCTGCTGGACGACTCATCCGACATCTTCCACGTCGGCACCCACACGAGTGAAATTCTGCGCAACGACCTCGTGCCCCAGTTCCGCGACCAGCACAACCGGTGGCTCGAGAGCGCGGCGCTGTGGTGGCTGCAAGAGTATGACCAAGCGGCGGCGGTGCTCCAGCCCACCAGTCAGCTCGTGGACGTGGTGGACCCGACGCTGCTCGAGTCGATGCAGTCTTCGTCGTCGGCTACCCCCGAGTCCTTGTCGCTGGTCCTGCGCACCAAGATGGCAATGGACTTCCTCATCAACCTCACGTCGCTGCCGCTCTACTTTCAGTTTACGTATTGTGAAGTGCAATTGCCGCTGCTCAAGTTTGCCTACGCCAAGCTCGTGCAACTGCACCCGACGCTCACCCAAGAGGATGTGCTCACGACCAAGACGGACATCGACCACGCGTACTCGTTTACAGCGTACGTGTGCAAACATACGGGGCTCAGCGACACGGCCCTCCTTCAAATGCTCCAAGCCCGCCACCTCTTGCAAGTACACGTGAAAAAGAACTTTTTGTACATGCTCGAGACGCACCAATCGGGTTCCGTGGGCCGATCGCCGGGTACTAGCAGCAGCAGCAGCTCGAAACGAGCCAAATTGCGCGCCAAGCTGAACTTTGGCGGGTCGTCCCCGCGAGCCAGCCATGTCTTTGGCTCGCCCCGTGTCACTCGGAGCCTCGCGCGACGAACCAGTGTCACATCGTCGCTGTCTCTGGACTTTACGACGACCCCTGGCGGTGCTGGCGGCGTTAACTCGGAGGCGGAATGGGAGCAGTTGCTGCTGCCCGAGCAAGGCGACAAGCTGCTGCCGCCGCCACTCTCGACGACGGCGCTGTGGCCCAAGGCAGAGATCGCCGACATGGAGTGCCGCCGGTGGTCGTCGTCGGCGTTTGTGGGCAAGATGATTGGGATGCGCGTGGCGCGGGAGATGATTTCGCACTTTCGTCTCCAGATGGACCAGATCAGCGACCACCGCGCGTTTCTCAAGGAACTGCTGGATCCCCTCGCCGCGCAGTTCAAGGTGGACCGGCAGTACATTTTAGAAGCGACGCTGAGCGTGCTGCAGCCCCACGCGCCGCTCCACTTGGTTGAGTGCTGTTTTGTCCTGTCCGAGCTCAACCGGACGCACGTGATGCAAGAGTGGATTCAGTGCGTGAGCCTGAGCATGCTGCACGCGACGTCGCACTTCCCGACAGTCGAGTGGACCGACGACGTCCTCCGCGAGTGGAAGGTCCTCACCGCGCAGCTGCGGCACCTCCAGCTCCTCTGTGACGACCAAGTGCTCGAGTTCCCGTCGCCGATTCGGCTGGCCATGCAGTGGGCCATGCAATTGGGCTCGGTTGTGCTATCGTGGTGCACCAACCACCCGGAAAAGCTCCACGATGTTGTTCTCACAGGTACGTACGCCGAGATCATCACACCCTCCTAAGTAACCCGATATTGTCTTTCTTTTACCCAATATTTGGACATTTGTGCGGATTCGCCAAATCGATTGATCGATTCTTTGTACTGACTTTTGCTTGTAACGATCGTCCAGTATCACACTAATTCCAATCACACACTAAATCGATGATGAATTATTCGAATAGTTGATTTGATTGGGTAGTTGAATCATGTTTTGTGTTTTGATTGGTCGATCGATTCTCTGCCGATTTAATGTGCTGCTCATTCGATTGAGCACCCATCCCACTCGAATTTCGAATCGAATCAACAATATATATATATATTAAGGTGACGTTTGGTTGTGGAATGTAGACATCCCGCCAGTGTTGGATGAGTTTATTGTCGTGACGCCCGTCGACGCCGCCGCGACCGTCCAGCATCCGTGCCATGCTCTCAACTTTGGCTACACGTTCCTCGCCCAAGCGGCCCATACGACCCACCTTCTCCGCGTCCGGCACTTGTACTCGACGATCCTCATGACGCAGATCGTGAGGACGGTGTACTGCACGGACCAGAAGATGCTGCTCACGTCTCCCCACGACTTCAACGACGTCACAGACAACGGATGCAACGGCCTGTACATGCCCAAGACACTCTGGCGTGCATGGACGCGCCATCCGTTGGCCGGGCTCAAGCGGTGGTACCTCGCCATGGAAGCGCATGTTCAGCTCGAGCTGCACCGGATTGTGGCGGCCGAAGCACCGTGCGAGTGCGGGCACTATGGCATCGACCTGGCCGTGCGACCTCGACCGCCGCGATTGGTTGCGGAGGACGTCGTCGCCGCCTCCTTCCCGACGGACGGCGCGGCGGTTTCCGACGAGGCGCTGTTGCTGTGGATGCAGCACCCCGTGTCGGGCGTGCCCACAACGCTGCGGAGGTACAGAGTCGACCCCCGCGTGTTCATCGCCTGCTTTACGCTCAAAGATGCGTTCGTGTGGCTGCACGGCCACGGTTTGTGTGACAACCTCGACGATACCCACGACTTGCTCGGGCGGTGGTGCCAAAGCCGAAAGGTGCGGTGGCTCGTACGACGGCGCAGCGCCATCTCCACAAACCAGCCCCCTCCCGGCAACCCCGCGCCTTCGACTGCTACGTCCACTGCATCCAATGGCCACAACGGTCATACCAATGGAAAGGTTTCGATCGAGCTCATTCCAGACGAAGCTTTTTGCTTTGTCTCGCCTTGGGAAGTCGACGCCGAGCTCAACGTCCACGTGTACATGCACGGGGAAACCACGTCTGCGACCACCACCCACCACAACGGACCAAGTCACACGGGCCCTTGTACTCATGGCCCCGATGCCCCCCACGACCCCCCCGCTTCTTCGTGCGAGACGACGTCGGGGGTCGAACTCGGCTGGGAGAGTCTGCTGCCCCTGACGTCCCACCTGTGCGACGACGCGGCCAAAGTCATGTTCCCCAACTCTGACTTGAAAGCGTTGTGGCAGACCGTGTGCGGCGAGGGATGGCTGGTCACGGCCGTCCAGCACTTTGACGCGGATGGACTGTACATGCGGCAGAGTCAGCAACACGACAGGTCCGCCACCCCCCGGTCCAGGTACCTCGCCAACTTGTTCAAGCAAGTGCAGCGGAACCGCCTATTTCGATACCTGGGGCTGCCACATCGCCTCGTGGCGGTTATCACAGTCGACCTGGTCGAGGGCAAGGACTTACTCGCTTGCGATATTCTCACCCGCACGGTACCCCCCGCTATGTGTTTTCAATCGGGTGGTGTGAAATAATCGCAAGTGCTTTGTATAGCCGTCCTATCTGAAACAGACTGCCATGATACCTGATCTGTTTTATGTCTATATGTCTTATATGGATAGAGCTAGCATATTTGTCGTTGATCTGCACCATGAGATATCAAACGGGATTATTCATATTGTGCTTTCGAGTGAAATTTCGTGTTGTGGTTTCTCGTTGGAATTTAAATCGATTTGATTGGCTACTTCAGATATGCTCAAAATTATTAGCCAATCAAAACCTTCTCAATGAAATTCAACAACCAATCAGATCGATTGTGGATCGGTTTGGTCGGCGCGATTGGATTGCACCCCCTCCCCAAATTTGTATCAAATCGACAATATATATATATAATCTCAAAAATCAATATCACCTACACCACACAAATGGAATATTGAATTTCACAGTTAAAATTTGATTAAATTTTTACGTGGTGCAAAAAATAGTACGACAAATATTGTGCATTTTACCCAAATATTTGGACTTAAGAGTCATTGCACCAAATAGGTGTCGAAACTATATTTGATCTATTTTTTAATCTTGTACACACTATACTATACAACGAATAGTATATATTGGTTCTGAGGGGTCAAACGTTTGGATTGGCAGAATATATTCGACATACGTGATTTGATTGGTTCAGGCGGTTCTTTAATCGAAGACATTTGACTATTCTGCTGAGGACTCCAGCTTTCGAATCGATTTGACAATATGATTTGTATGTAACCTTGGTGTTTTCTGTGACACAGGCGGACCCGTACGTGTTTATGACGCTGTCGACCGCGTCCGGCACGAGGCCGCCTCCGCCGACGCCGTCGGGATGGAGCATCAACTCGTATCGGAGTCGCCATGTCGTTGCTACGCTCAATCCCAAGTGGGGCACCGAGCACGACAAGTTTCCGTTCCGGATGGCGTTGCCGGTGCACGAGCCCCACGACGATGGCCCCCTTCCCCCATCGTCGTCGTCGCCGTGGCGGGAGGCGCTGCTCCAGCACGCGTACGATGGCCCGCCCACGGAGCTGCACTGCTCCGTGTACAACAAATGCAAGCTGCGCGCACATCCGTTTATGGGTCGGGCTAAAGTGAACTTGACGCGGCTTACGGCGTCGCAGCCCATGGACGTGTGGGTCACGCTAGATGACGTGGCCACGGGCGCATTGCATGTCAAGATCTCGCTCAAGTACCAGCTCATGTCGTCGACTTCGTTTGATCAAGACTTTGTACGTGGATGACAGTTGATGGCTTGTTGGTTCTGATCTTGTGATTGTAGGGCCGACGGGAGGTGGAGGCGGCAGCAGGAGACGATGTGAGTTAGGTTCATGGAATACAGTTAACATGAGCGATGGACTGCGGGTGGGCTTGGCTACATCATGCACACAGACGACCGCGTCACTGAGGGCTTATTGAACTGACTCCAGAAGTGTGTGGACGACGAGCCCAAGAACATGTGCCCGATGCATACGATGCATGTTTGCAACTCCTACAACAAACATACATTGACGACAGAAGATGACGACGTCATGTACTCGTACGAGGTCGTTGGAACATTGAGCAGAGATGGACGGAAATGCCTGGCGAATGCACGCAACTGCCGACTCATCTGCCTACATACATAGTGAATAGGATATGCATCGACATGTGTGAGTGAAGGATGACTCTCTACCAGCATGGACGAGGTTTCGAAATGCACATACGCCCCAGGTGCGTCGACTGCGGCGGCGTCTGTGAGTTGGATCGTACAGTAGTCGCCGCCCGTTTTCTGCACGTCCATCGAGGCTTCTTCTTGCGACTACTTGACTAACTGTTAACATATCACAGGATGTTCAAGTGTCTGTACTTCGTAGATGATCACTGTGAGCTTGTACTCGCGGTACCCTCCGTGACAACATCGCACACTACGCCAACCCTTTTGGTAACACTCTCATGGAAGTTCGGCGTGATCGCATACCAGTCGTCCACCGGCACTTCAACACCAAACAGCCCAAGCGTCCTTGCCTGCTTCCCATCTTCTTCTTCTTCGCTCCATTCGTCATAGTAGAAGTACCCTTGGAACCATTCACCCCCTTGAGGAAAGCACAGCATCGCGCGGCCTTCGAGCTTCTTGACATCTCCCATTTCGAATTCCAATGCGCAAATTGATTTGGCCAATCCAAATCCTCCGTCAAATCACAAGCCAATCAAATCGCAAGCATTTCTCGATTAGCGCCAAAATCGTTTGATATCAACATGGAGATTGTGGAGCTAGATGCAACATCCATCGCAAGTGTGCGGCTGCTGAACCTGGCGGCGCTGCCAATTCCAGTGCAAGAACATATCTACCGAGAGGCTCTGACGCCACCGATCCTCAGCTGGGTCGCCCTAAGAGACGGCAAAGTCCTTGGCGCTGCCTTGGTGCACGACGACGGCGGCCAAGCAGGTGGTCTGTGCTTGCGGACGATCGCTGTGGATATTCGTGCGCGGGGACAAGGCATCGGTCGTTTGCTCCTCGAAAAGGTCGTGGAACATGCCTCGTCCATGATGCCCAAGAAGAAGCTGTACCTGCATGTCCAGGTTGACAATGACGATGCGATCCGTCTATACCAGAGGCTCGGGTTCTCCGTCGAACAGCGCGTGGCCAACTACTACCGCCGCGTTGCTTGTGTCGACTGCTTCGTCATGGCCCTCGTCTTCCCAGTTCTTCGTACCCCCACCACACCACCATCTTGAAAGACTACTAGGATCACTATTACGATACAGTATTACACGACTGAACTTAAAAACGGCGTTGGACGTGGCTCATAAATTCGGATCGGGTGCGCGGGTCCGACTGGAAGTTGCCCAGCACGCAGCTGGTCACAGTCGACGCGCCACTCTTTTCGACACCACGCATGCACATGCACATGTGGGAGGCTTCGATCACGACCCCCACGCCCAATGCGCCCACCGCTTCCATCAGGCCTCGCGCGATCTCGTTGGTCAGGCGCTCCTGGACTTGCAAGCGGCGCGCAAACACATCCGAAATGCGCGCGAGTTTACTCAAGCCGAGCACTTTGCCGTTGGGGATGTACCCGATGTGCACTTTGCCCACGAATGGCACAATGTGGTGTTCGCACAGCGAGTACAGCTCGATGTCGCGCACAATGACCATTTCCGAGTAATCTTCCGTAAACACCGCTTCGTTGAGGACGTCCGACAGTTGCTGGGAGTAGCCCTTCGTGCAATACATGAGAGCCTTGGCCATGCGCATGGGGGTCTTGAGGAGACCTTCGCGCGTGACGTCTTCGCCCATGCACTCCAAGAGGACTTTGACGGCCGCCGCCATCTTCTCGAGCTTCTCCGTGTCATTCGTAAAGTCGTCTTTCACGCGGTTGTACTTGTTCTTGGACAGCGTGGTCGTCGCGTGGGTGGTGGCGGGGTCGTCTTGAGGGGCCATGGTAGTCTTTGCTTGTGGAGGTGGCGGCAACTTGGAAAGTGCGTCGACGGGCGGGGTAAAGGAGTCGAACGTCGGCAGTTTTCGATTGTCCAGGCAAGTCCTACCACGTCGAGGCGGAATTATTTTGATTTTCTGATTGCCTTACTTGCACTATGTATACTCATATAATTATAATCCAATTGCTGCATACTTGACATACATTTCACAAGTGATTTCGCACCCGACATGTGCGCGCATTCACGTTTTGTGTGCTTCTGCACGAGTTGATCAAACGCCATGTGATTGGTGGAGACCACGCGTGAATAGGCCAATCACGTGCTTTAAATGTCGCTGATTGGCTGATACGATCGATATCAGGGACCCTACTATTAATACCTAGTAATAGTATTAATATTGAGTGATGGGGACCTCAAACTTCATGTTTATATTTCGCCAAGCCAGCAGTAAAATTCAACCAACTATCGCGCGCTTCAACCTTTCGAAACTTCATTCAGAAAGGAGCTGTCAGCACTGCCACCCTCGACGTCATGAACAACACGAGGTAAGCACCTGTTGAACCCTACTCCATCGATGCTGTGCCTCTGGTATGTCTGTGTCTCATAGGAATACCTTGACTGCTGTCGTCGACCTATCGTCACATGTACGCATATCCGCCGTGCATTGGGCTCCTCTCGACAACGTCGCTTGTGCATATACTGTATGTCAGAGGCAGAGGAGTCCAATGCTCGGCGGACCTTTTGTCTTAAACAATGAGGTACAGTAATCTTTGACGATTTCGACTTTACTGTTAGGCAGTGTTCTTCTAACGTTACAGTACGTCATTGATCTAACAAGTAAAAACATGTGTCGGAGGCGGCAAGCCATCGAGTATCGCTTTCAATATTGTATCATATTGTAAAGGTTTTCCGAATAAGATAATATACTTCATTTCAATAATTGCGTACTGTTTATTAGAGGATATCAGGAAGCAGGGTCTAAAATGACAATGATTTTGTATTGTATCTCACGCAATATTGCTTTTAACAGTCAATCGGACACGGCAGTCATCCGGTAAAAGCAAACGATGACACAGTTCGTCGATAGAATTGAAAAATATTTTGATTCGACTGAGATATGGAGATAGTGGCACTCGATGCTGACGACCACACTAAGTTGTCACTCGTCGGCATTGAGTACCGGTACCGGTAGTCATGGCTGGAATCCAACATGCCGACAAGTGGCAAGCGTCACCCAGGGCATATGTAGATAGATAGATATACCACACCAGAAGATGTCCTGTATGGTTGGGTTTTTTGGTGAAATTAATCGCCTGCTGGATGAAATAAATACTCCGGGGTATACTAGTATTGACTAAACCTGAAATTAAAGGATAGTTTGTTGAATTATACCGCTGGCTGGGTGAAATATAAAAGTGAAGTTTGAGGTCGCAACGAAATTAAATGGAGGTAGCCGAAATATACCGGTGGTTAGGTGAAACATACTGCACGCTAAGCGAAATATAGTTAAAAATAGTTAGCCGCAAAAAGGTGTAGTACTAACGATACACTACTGCACTGAACTACACCTTATTGCGGTTAACTTAATTTCTTTTCATTAATAACTATATTTCGCTTAGCGTGCAGTATGTTTCACCTGACCATCGGTATATTTCGGCTACCTCCATTTAATTTCGTTGCGACCTCAAACTTCACTTTTATATTTCACCCAGCCAGCGGTATAATTCAACAAACTATCCTTTAATTTCAGGTTTAGTCAATACTAGTATACCCCGGAGTATTTATTTCATCCAGCAGGCGATTAATTTCACCAAAAAACCCAACCATACAGGACATCTTCTGGTGTGGTATATCTATCTATCTACATATGCCCTGGGTGACGCTTGCCACTTGTCGGCATGTTGGATTCCAGCCATGACTACCGGTACCGGTACTCAATGCCGACGAGTGACAACTTAGCTTGCCGCCACCGACGCATGTTTTTACTTGTTAGATCAATGATGTACAGTACTGTAACGTTGGAAGAACACTGTTTGCCTACAGTTGAAATCGTCAAAGATTGCCTCATTGTTTCATACAAATGATCCGCCGAGCATTGGACTCCTCTGCCTCTGACATATAGTATGCACAAGCTAGCTACGTTGTCGAGAGGAGCCCAATGCACGGCGGATATGCGCACATGTGACGATAGGTCGACGACAGCAGTCAAGGTATTCCTATGAGACACAGACATACCAGAGGCACAGCATCGGTGGAGTAGGGTTCAACAAGTGCTTACCTCGTGTTGTTCATGACGTCGACGTTCGGCGGGGGTGGCGCTGTATTGACAGCTCCACCCCCGCCGCAACAGGTTGAAGCGCGCGAAAACAAAACCGTCGATCGAGAGCCAGCAGAAGAGAACTTCGTTGGTCGAAATATATCGCAAATATATTGACGAAAACTGAAATTGACACTAAGCGATAGTTGGTTGAATTATACCGATATTTTGTTAAATATAACGTTGAAGTTTGAGGTCGCCACAGAAATTAACTGAAATATGGTCTGGTGAAATATACTTCGTAGTACTGCATGCAAGCTAAGCGAAATATAGAAAAAAATGCTGAATTACGAGGCGTCGTAATCAGCGTGGTCGTTTTTTAGATATGAGCATGATACTTGGAAGTTGTATGGGAAATTAAAAGTAAAACCTAGAAAGCCAATTGTTGCAATACATTTTTTTTGGTTTTTCGGAAAATGGCCATAATTCCTGATAGAGGCATCCTTTTCCACACAATTGAGCTGTATACAGCTCATCATATTTGTCATACCTCTATAAAGTGGTGTGCCAATTGTTGACGTACATCGTTGTTGTATGGCTACAAGTATACGTATTCAGAGGTTTGCTATATGATTGGTGCTTTCCTAATTTGGAGCTCCTACTGTACCGTGTTCATCGTAACGTTAATCCTTCCTATATTGTCAAATCAATTCGAAACCAAGTTGTCACGGGTAGTAAGAATATCTTATAACGATACTGCAGTCGTCCGACAATTTCAAGAACACATTCACAGTTACTGTTAATATCCTTACTGTTAATGTGTGCAAGACTACGGCAACACTGCGCGCACAGGACACAGCCTCGACACCATCCAGCCCACACGTTTTCATCGTTAGTTGTTTTGACTACTAGTGGTCTCTCGAATCGACTTGGTCTTGACAAACTTGGCGCAGAAGAACCCCATCGTGTCGCTGGCACTGGCCGGGTCAAAGCGTTGGACTTTGGCGGCTTGGTCGGCCGACAGGCCTTGGTTGAGCAGTCCGGGCTCGCCAAGGACGGGGTTCTGTCCCACCAGCTCCAGCGGGTACGCGTCCAGAGCATGCGCGACCATTTGCTCGTTCTCCTTCGGGTTCACCGTACACGTCGAGTAGACGAGGGTGCCGCCAGGTTTAAGCAGGAACACGGCCGCCCACAGAAAGTTCCGCTGCATGTTTGAGTACTGCTCCAGCTCGGTCAAGTTGCATGCGTGCACGAGGCGCGGTCGCAGCCCCAACGCCGAGCAAGGCGGGTCCAACAAGATCTATGACAACCATCGATATATATATATATATATATAATATATATAAATATATAATATATAAACACCCAAACAGTATACAGTATGGTTGTGTTTAGTCTAAACTGGAGCGACATGGAGAATAATGAATCGACCGACACAACCAATGAATTGTACACTAGAATCATCGCCAGAAGGATTTAGCCAATCAGAATATCGCAAACATTGAAGCAGTGTGTGACTTCATAGTCCGTGAGGGCCCAGAGCTCCCTCTTGAAAAATTATAACTATATTACAGAGGCAAAATTAAATTGATTTCTGCTTCACTTGTGGATATTGCATTCGAAATACAATAAAAAATATTTTTATTTCAAAATGGATATCGTGTTTCACAAGTTATTATAGTTCATGGATGCATTTCTTGTAAAATTCAGACAAAACGAATCATATTGTGAGAGATATGTCATTCCGGAGTGCAGTGGATGTTAAAGTACATGTTCAGACGAATCCGAGACTTCAGAAATCGAGGAAATTGACCTAGCCAGTCCCAACATACGAACAGAAGTTCCCTCGATACCCTCGGGGACTGTCAATGAGTGTGATTCGAATCACCAGAGGACAACTTTTTAAAGTCGATTCGAAATTCGAGTGTTTGGGTGGTCAATCGAATGTGACCAGAATCACCAAATCGACAGACAATCGATATACGACCAATCAAAACCCAGATCAATAATCAAGTACCCAATCAAATTATCCACTCTTCGACCAATTCAACATCGAATTAGTGTGTGACTTCAATTAGTGTGGCACTGGACGAATTTTACATCCAAACGTCCGTACAAAGAACTCGATCGATGGATTTGGCAAAGAATCCGCACAAAAGTCAACCAAATTTCACGTAAAAGGGCAATCCATACCTTGTCAAAGGTCTCCGCGCCGAATCCGGTAATGGGAAGCAGTTTGGCTTGGGGGTCTTTGGCTAGGGCGTCGGTGATCACTTGATGCACGGACGGAACGATATCTTGCTTGGGGAGCACAGACTGCGTCGAGTCGAGCTGCACAAACATTGTTAGGCATAATGCGGCCAAAGTTGACGGACCTTGATGGGCACGATGATGGACAAGTTCACGGATTCAAAAAATGCTTTCATTTCCAGCACTTTTCGACGGCTTCGGTCGCACGCGATCAACGTGCCTCGGTTCTGCATAAGGGTGGCCAGATGCGACGTCTTGCCGCCCGGCGCGGCGCACATGTCGAGCACCGTGTCGCCTGGCTGGGGGCTCAACACGTGGGCTACGACACTGGACGGGGTGTTTTGCATGTACATGTCGCCACTCAAGACCCCGTTCAGTGGCGGCGCGTCCGCACACAACTAGGCGTAATGATGATGACGTTAGTAGTATAACGTCATGATCGTGACATACCCGAGATTGCACCGCCACCGCTAGGCCTTTGAGCGCTCGAAACATTTCACTTCGCGGCATGGCGGCCGTGCCCACCCCCAAAAGCACCTTTCGACCCGCGTGGAGCTCGGCGTCGCTGCCCCGAGTTGCCGAATGGTCCAAGTCCACATACACCAACACGCGGTCGCCAGCGTTCAAGGCGCTGCTGGCGCACATGATGCCACGCGCAAAGATATCGCTGCCTCGAAGCACAGCTTCCCCACAGAGACGATCGACGATGATCTTCTTGGTCGTGGTGGCGTCCACGGGAGCGGTCACCCGAGGTGCCGACGGCACGATCACGACATCGGTTAGACTCGAGTGCGGTACAGCGGCAATGGTCGGTCGACCTTGCGCTTGAAGTCGGGCGTTGAAGTCAACGAGCGCTGCATTCAGAGCCACCACGAGCTTGTCTTGCGTGGTGACGAGGGTGTTGACTCGAACGGACGTGTACGCGGGCCTACGACGGGTGTTGGAATGGGTGCATGGAGGATGGAACACTGTACGGGCGCGCGAGGGCAGATTTGATGGCACCCCAGTGGGTCGCGCCATAGGCGAGGGTGAAAAAGGCTTCGACGTCGTCCGGAAACGCGAGGAAGAACTCGTCCAGACCGACCGTCATGGCGTCGACGCTGCTGGTCATGGTCAAGAGGTGTGAACCGGGAGGCGGGCTGTTGATTGGTCTACACTTTGCCCATGCGATTTGATTGGCCAATGAACATTGGTCGTTAGACGAGCCAATCAATGCCCTCGATATCATTGAATAATCGATAGCAATGGCCAGTAAAATAAATGCAATTCACAGTCAATTGTGAGGAATAATCATGCAGTAACGTAAAAAATGAATTTACTATTAACTTATTGTCGATTCTCTTCAATTTTCGCCATTTTTCGTGGTTCATTCAACCAAGTACAAACCGAGCCGATACATCTGATTGGCTAGTATCCACTTCGCCCTTTCTGTTAGAATGTCGAAATGAATTGTAGCCAATCAGCGACAAGTAATTTCGGACTGACCAATGGGAGAGATTGGTGCCTGGTTCGGTCGGCGAGATTTGATTCACCAGGGTCCGGAAATTCGTACCGAATCTCCAATACTACAGTTAAGATACGTTCGTCGGAGTGGAATGGACATAATTTTTGAGTCCGTTACGATATTTGAGTTTGAGAAGTGATTCCAAAGTCAAGTTTCACTACATAATCGAATTACTCCTCCGGAGTATCAGTTTAGACAATGAATTGACAGGTAAATTTGTCACTTCCGAAGCATTTGTACTCATTTTGATAACCAATTTAGGATAACTTTTTTTATCTTAAAGTATGTATGTATTAATATGTGTCAGAGCATTGAAATTCTGTGTTTAGGGTAAGAGGTTACAACAGGTTTCATATAATTTACACAAGGGTATTGTTTTATAAGTTTTATTTCTGTTGTCGAAGTATGTCCACCGAGTTTAGCACTTGACACAACCTCAGATCCAACCCAATGTGACCCGTGTCGACTAGGGTGCTTCAAACCCATTCTTGAATGACTGTTACCGATGGCTTCTACGCCGTTTTGGCATGTCATTCACATGACGGAATGGTCAGCGTTATGAGGTTTTGACTCGAAGGATTAACGAGGTGTGATTGGGCAATTCAAAGTTTATCCTAACAGTGGTCTATATGGCGTTTAGTTATGATAAGCTGCGAAGGTTCACTGAAAAAGACCATCTGGACCTTGAGATAGGCATAAATATACCCTCGATGCCTTCGACCACTTTAAATTCGTTAACAATGTAAGTTATCTTAAACTGGTTTTTTACGTTAACGTTAGTACCTCGAAGTATTATTAATAACATACTACGTAGTAAAAAAGCTCCCATCCATTACCGGTATTGTCAAGTCGGTTGTTCGCAATTGGACTCGCCAGTCGAATCGAATAGACTCAAATCAAATGCCTGGTCTCCAGGAGTCGCTACGGGTTTTTCGATCATGGAAAAAAAGAATCTTTATTCTTTTGAGCCTGTAATAGGAATTGCTGGACTTTTTTCCACATGGGTACTACTAGTAGTATCACTTAAACGGGGGCAAAACCCTTTGCCCCGTATGGGTCAGGTTGACGACAACAACGAAGTAAGCAGTGAGCATCAGTCAGTGCGTGCATTCCTGTAGAAGAGCACGAATGGAAGAGGTCGAATGGATATCAATACGAGATAGTGTCCCTGTTTACCAGATACTCCCTAGTACCAGATAGTGCACCCGCTTACACGGGGAGAACTCCGCTATTGGTGACGATATGTAGTTACGGTTTCAAATCATCTCAACTTCTCCCCATCACCGAACGCAGACCGTGGCAGCGTCGACGCAGTGGCTGTCATTATCATACGCATCAAAAGGTACGTCCACTGTGGTCGCTGAATTGAATGGCCTGCGTCGGCCTAGAGACCGAACGCAGCTGCGGGGTTGACCAAGTTTGATTGAGTAATAAATATGGTAGTATTTCCCAAACCAAGTTTTGAAATCTTCAGTTGAACCTGTTATATTCCTGGGTGCTCGAAGTTTGTCCCTTCCTTCGAAAGATTTCTAACAGGTATTCTGCATATATACATCCGTTGAAGCAGCATACTCATGGCACCTCCCGCTGCCGAACCTTCCGACTCGCTCCGAGCCGTCATCGCGCTGTCCACGCATGGAAGTCGCGCCCCGGCCCAAGCAGCCGCGTCCCTCTGTCCCGAGAATGCCGCCAACCTCAACGCGTACGCCGTGCCATTCGAACAACTTACGGACAAAGGCATGCAGCAAATGGTACATGCCGGTGCCCACACCCGCGACGTCTATGTCCAGTCCAAGCACTTTCTGTCACCCACTCTCAAGCAGAAAAAACACTTTGACGCGTACTTCCGAGCTGATCCGTCGCACAGCTGCAGCCAAAGCTCCGTCACGTTTGGGTATGGCCTGTACCCGGACTCGACGTCGACGACCCTCGGCTTCCCCGTGCCCGTTCCAGTTGTCATGCAGCTGCTCTCGAACGAACACGACATTGCCGTCACCCACGGTCCATGCCGTGAAACCCTCGATGCCGACTTGGCCCGTTTTGACGCCGGCGAAGGCAAGAAGCTGTTTGCTTCGCATGCGTCCGTGCTGCACCAACTGGGGATCGCGTGCGGACGACCGTTCGACGTGGTGCAGTCGCCCAGTGACGACTTGTCGGTAATCGCAGACATGCTGCGTTCCGATTCGAGCCAAGGACTGCGTTCGATTGTGCCGCCGAACGTCGCGGACGACGTGCAAGGGCTCGAATTCAACCAAATGCTCGGGCGCTACCTCGGCAGTCCGCGGCAAGTGACGTACTACCTAGGAGGCTTCCCTGACCTCATGCTGTCGCAGCTGAACAAAGCCGCCGAGAATGTCAGCCCCGCCAACGATGCATCGCAATACAAACTGTACGCATATACCGGCCACCGGCAGCTGCTCCACGGGATGGGCTTGCTCGTCGGGTGGAATTTCCACTTTGATGGCCAGCCGCAGTCCACCAAGTTCAACACGTCGGCGCTCCCGGCGGGTGCGACGCTCTACTTTGAGCTGCACGCGCCGTCGGACAGTTCTCCGGTGGTCGAGACGCACATCTGGTCGCCACAGACCAACCGCACACGCGTCAAGCTGACCAAGTGCAGCTCCATCTCGTGCCCGCTGTCCGAGTTCACCGACATCATCGACCGCCACATCCAGCACACAACGCCGTGGCAGGAACTGTGCCAGTATCACCCCGTGAACCAGGACAGTTCCATCGACGGAACCATGTCGGAGCCGCAGTCCAACCACCTCGTCATCCTCGGCACCGTGCTCGTGGCACTCACGCTGTTCGCCATGCACTCTGCATACACGCGCATCAACCAATTCCGCCGCCAAAGCCAGTACCGGCAACTGTAACCAGCATGACGGCTACCACTACTACAGTATTGCAAACAAGAAAAGCTATATACAAGCCTCATCATGTCGTTGTGACCTATACGTATGTATACAGTAGCATGGATGCATCGCTGTAGTCCACAGCTATATCATGTCGTGGCTATGCTTAGTTGTTTATCAGGTGGGTGGGATATGTGGTGGTCAGGAGGATGCGAGGAGGGTTTGCCGTAGCGAGTCCTCGGTTGACAAGTCCGAGTCGGACTCGTCGTCGTCGTCCATGATGGCGTCGGCGATGAAGCGGTAGGGTGCTGCTTTGTGAGGGGACGAGCGACCGACGGAGGTGGGCTGGTTGTTCGACGAGACGGGGAAGCGGCGGTGGAAGTGGAGCAGCACGACGATCGGCACGAGCTCAAAGATGGAGTAGTAGAGCGCGACCATGAGCCACGTCAAGTGGTCTTGCAGCTGCACGTGGTCTTGGGAGAGGTACAAGATCAGCACGGACCGACCGGTGAAGCACGTCGCACACACCGCCGTGACCAGCGTCACTTCTTGCAGTTTCCTGGATCGGATGGGGAGATCCACGGGCACGGCTCTATATGACAATGCACGAGGTGTATTGCTTATGTGTCTATTCTAAACTGGAGCGAAAATGGAGAATGCATCGACGACACAACCAAAGAAATGGACACAAGTATAATCGGCAGAAGGATTGAGCCAATCAGATTGCAGGAAACCATCATCATGTCAAATTAGTGTGTGACTTCAATTAGTGTGATACCAACCACTCCATAGATTTGGCGATTCGGCACAAAGTCCAATTTTGGGTAAAACGACAATATCCGAGGACTACATGGACGCTTACCGTAGCTCGACGTAGGCCAAGCGACCATAGATGACGAACGCGAGCGTCACCAACACGAAGAATGTGGTTGAGAACGCGGCGTACCCACGCCCAAAGTAGTGATCTAATGGGAAACACAAAGAAGATGATGGATGATATGTGGCAGGGGCGTCGTTGGTCGACGATACCTTCGGAGCGCCACGGGTCGGCGTAGAGCACCCACAGCCCGATTTGCAACAGGTACGCGGCCCCATGCACCACCCTTGACACTGGCTTGACGACATGCGTAAAGATATCGAGTTGATCGGTCGCGTTGTAGTAGATTTCGGCCCAGAACAAACTGATGAGCAAGTACATGGACAGGAACAGCATGTTGGGCAATTGATCCAGGGCGTAAAACGCTTGACGTTCCACACCGTTCGCCTCGCAGGATGCTGAGAGCGTCCCAGCGGTTGCCACTTCGCACCAGTCGAACAAACCCACTGCTAAGAGGAACCCCGTGCGGAGCAGTGTCACGAGAAACAGCAGCGCGTGGACGGTCTTTTGTTGGGTCCATGAATTGTAGCTCCTGCAGTTTCGAACCAGCTGGACCAAGGATGCCCCAAAGAGACACATGTAGATAAAGCCCGTGACGGAAAACGCATTCCGATTTGCTCTGCCTTGACCCGTGCCATTCGTAGCCAACAGAGCCCACGTCGGCATCCAGCCCTGTCCCCGATCGTTTTCGGTTTCCGAAGTGCGAAGAAGTACGTTATCCGGTATTCATACAATAATAATATTTTTCCCTCGACTATTTCGAGAAAATAGTATTGGTCGTACAACTGTATTGCCCGAAGTTTTTGGCCGTGCGAAATGACGATCTTTCTTTCGACCTCACGATTTGATTCGCCAAAAATACCATAATTCACAGCTAATCAAGGAAATGAACCAATTGAACCTCTATATATAAATACATTATACTATTACAGAGGTTTTGATCAATTCTGAAACCTCTCTTCGATTCAACCAATCGAACATGGAAATTTTGAGTAGAACCCACAATATTAGAGATTCCCATTAGATTTGGCACGCGGACCTCGTTAGATTTGTCGATGGGTCCGTTCGCAATGGAACTGTGCCCAAGCAATGGCCCTACTGCCCCTCATTTGCCCAGTGATAATCGACAGCTACTCACATTTCGCACTTGCTAAAAGTCTCTACAATGTAAAAGTCTCTATAAAAGTCTCTAATAGAGACTTTTAGCAAGTGCGAAATCTTGACTTTCATTCGAGACTTTTAGCATTACCGTACTAGTGCTATTAATAGTAATAATAATACATATGTGTACTTACAGTTAGATCAAGTGTACTGTAGACTACAGTACACCGTAGTTGTGTAGTACTAAGTTACGGTAGGGATCACCAGTGTACTGTAATCAATTTGACATGTGAAGTGGCGGCCTGCCTGCGCTAACGTTAGGCTTTCAGGTGAAGTATCGACCAACTACCGATATTTATACTTCAACTTAAGTATTCATAAAGTTAGCTGTTCGTTGTTGATGTCCTTTTTCAGTGGGCCAGTACCATTTCGAACGGCCCCACCGTCATATCGAACGGCACACGGCCAAACACTTGGCATAAGTACTTATGTTCATTTTAACTGCAAAAAAAGGTGTAGTAGTGCTGTTTGGGAGTTCTAACACTACGAATGCTCCAAACATGTAGTAAGGAGATATTTCTAGATAAAGGACGTGATGAACCACAGGATGACGCCGCATCCGATCATGAGCACGGGGGTGTCCATGGTATGGGGGGCGATGGCTTCGGCGTACGCCATCGTGGGGGGCAACACGAGCATGGACACGAGTACTTGGGTGAAGTTGTCGAAGTCGGCGTACTGTAGCGCGGGGAAGATCATGCCCGACAGAAACACGCATGCCGACCCTTCCCAGCTGCGGGTGTACGCGCGCGACGAGAAGCACGCGGTGGTCTTGTACTTGTGTTTGCCCCACATGATGCCCACGGGCTCGGCGAGTCCGTCGCCGACGCCCGTAATGAACACGATGATGTACACCAGGTCTCCGTTCTCGGCGAACAGCCACTTGAAGAACATGAGGATGAGCAGCCCCGGTGCAATGTTGCCTGCGATGATCCACTTAAGCGTGTGCGGGCGGTCTTCGGGCCGGTCCAGAGAGTTGAACTGGAGCATAAAGACGGATAGCGCCTCGCGCACGGGCTTGATGAGCACGAGGAACCCGATCATGGTGAAGAAGTCGCCCCACGCCAGCGCCAGCGGCCCGTGGAAGTTGGTGTGCAGCACCAGAGGCACCATGTAGGCGGCAAAGTGCTGCAACTTGCGCGTGTAGTTGACCTTGAACGCAGAGCTCTTGTTGGTGATGATGTAGCCCTTATTGTCCACGGAGCAGAACGCGCGGCAGATCAGCCCTCCGATTAACGACACCACCATCATGCACGCCAGCTTGGGCAGTTGCGACCACCAAAACGAGGGCGTCGAGAAGTAATCGGGGCTGTAAATGTAGGTCAGCACCACCATGACCACCAGGTACAAGACCATGCCAATGAAGAACACAAAGTCGAACGTGTTGACCCAGTTGTCTTCGTAGTCGCCCGCGACTTCACCTTCTTCGATGGGACTGCGTCGAGTTGACGGGGCTTGTGTGGTCGCGCCATAGTGCGGGACGTTGGACGCCAGTGGCAACGAGTACTTGGGAGCCAACATCAATGGCTTCCAAACGACGCGGAGCAAGACATAGATCAACACGGAGGATGCAATTGGCAAGCCAACCAACGTCAATGCCTCCACAGACGTGAGGTGCTGTGACCACACGGCGATGGCCTCTGGGGTTTCAGTGGCTGTTGTGTTCATGACAGCAAAAATTGAGATGCGGGTGGGTTCTGGTCCTGGCTTGGCAAATCCCTCTGAATTGTCATAGGACAAGGGTGCAACTCTGGGATAGAGTTGCTTAAACGAGTAGCGTCCTACGTCATATGACGCGTTGTACGGATTTTTTCGTCTTTATTAAGGGACTTGACCTTCGAACTTCGTGCATTATCCGAACAAATCCGGAAGAAGTCGGGATGAGAAGTGATTGGTGTGTGCACGTATGTGTGTAGGGTTTTGCAACCAAATACCCTACCCAGCATTCCGCAAACGTTATCTAACGTTAGCATTTATATCTGAAGATCACAATGAAAAGTACCATACGTATCTTTTGCACGTGTTGCCTCGTTGCTGTGAAGGACTAAATTATCTACTCATACACAAGGTACTTACTGTTCATGACAATAGGTGATTAATAACTACTTCGAAGTAGACTCAACGTGGCATACAAGGTAAAGGGCCCACCAAAATGGTCCGTACATACTCGAAGTACTATTTATTGCCTCCAGCGAGCTGGGAGGTACTGTACGTAGGTGTGGTGGGGGGTTGACCTGCAGCCAGTTGACGTCCGTGCCCCGAGGTGCCGCGTGATTACAGTAAACCGCATCGGGACGCGCGGAGTTAGGCGACCACTGGTTTCTGCCCGCTGGCCGACTTGGTCTCGTCTCTGGGCGAAGGCTGGCAGGTCAACCGCTTTGTCCTGGGTTAAACATACGCGGGATTCCAACCTGCTCCTATCACTTTTTGGTGACGACTCGGAGTGCTTCGTGATTGACCTGATCTTGTGTGGCCCTCGAGTTGACTTTCTTGGATAGGCCAAGTGTGCTGGTGTTCCACACATGCATAGCGTTTTGACAATGACGGTCACACGACCCGTCGCGGCTGTGCCAGCATTGGTACTAACTGCTAATTTATGACGTATGTGTCAATTTAGGTCGTAGAAAATGCACCAATCATAGTTCGTTATTTAAATATGCACGAATCATACAGTGAACCTCTGAATTTCTATTCACAATTACATACAAAAAGTAAGGTTAAAATACAGACTGAAATTGGCACTCAAAATTATAGAGGTTCCACGTCTATAATTCCAAGGACTCCAAGCCATGTCCAAGGGCATAAGAACTTAATTATGGGTTGTTCACCAGGGAATTCTCTACCTTTAGGACTATTTAGAATTCGATAATGATGAAGCAGGTCGGAAATATGCCCATAAATCAAATAAGAGTTGCATGTCATAAATTGGCATTTTACTAAGCCTACTACGGAGACACAGGGCGTTCGGTGAATATGTCACACCTATGTGGCATCACGTAACTTAGTTAAGTTGAATTCGCTGTGGTGGCTGAGCGATCAAATTTCGAAATGCCACCACTCTCAGTGCTCAGCACGCCACGTCACAGATGGTTTGAAATTTAGTGAAATTTGGATTTCTGCCCAATCAGGGAACATAAATTTCCGGAGAGTATTGTGAATTCCCTATAAACTTCCAAAATTCTCGTGGTTTGTCGAATCAATATTGAATCACGCTGGAGTTCTGATTGGTTGAATATACTTAATCCAATAACCGATTACTATTAATAGTAGCCAATAGCGTCGATTCGTGATTCGATTGGATGGGGTATGGAAATTCGTATCGAATCTATAATAATCAATTCACTTGTTCTTATAATATACTGGTAATAGTCAAACGCAGTGTATAACAAAACCAATATTCTAGCTAGAGCGTTGGGTACTTGGCGTGCCTGCTTTGACACCACTTCGCCAAGGAAAAGTCATCTACTATTAATAGTACTGTATTTATACTACTGTACACATGCCGCGCCTGTGGGCCAAGCTTTCGCTATCGATAGCCGTCTTACTCGACAACCGACTCCACTACAGTAGAATGAAGTGCTCTGCTGTGCTGTCGATTGACCACGTACAACTTGAACTCTGGCGGTTCCTTTGATATTTGCTCTTAACGGTTGATTCCAGGGGGCTCAGTGTGGACTTTGTGAGCATACTCGACAATAACTCGTCAATGGAGTCTTTGAAATTGATGCCAATTCCGGGATTCAAAATGAGTTCAATATTGAAAATACAAATGCCTTGCTTTGGAGATTTTACCGATTTTAATAAATACAAGAAAAACCTAATGGCAGCCACAAAAAAGTTAGAAAGCACCTCTTTTTGCAGCTTTTCAGAAATATATTTTGACAATTTTTCAAATGACAGCTTTTGTATGTTTGGTTTTGGCTACCACATCTGACATATATAAATGGACATAATACGTCCAATTTTTACTGTTTTCTGACAAAAATAGTTTTAACTGCAACAGTCCAAATTTTACCTCACGTTACATGATATTTCAACAATAGTTCTCTATCCATCAGATATAATCTACTACACCATTTTGCAGTTAAGTTGGACGAATGCCCGATGTATTTGGTCGTGCGCCCGATATATTTGGTGGTGTGCCCGATATAATTAGCCATGTGCCCATTTAATTTGGCACACCGAGGTCGTGTGCCCGATATATTTGGCGGTGTGCCCGATATAATAAGCCGTGTGCCCAAGCAAATAGCTATCTGCCCGATGAATTGTGTCGTGTGCCCGATGAAAATGAAATAATTCAAATAATTATATTCCATGGATTGCAAATCAGTTTCGGTGGAAACATCATGTGGTTGAAGTTCGGAGGAAAACGCGCGAAGGCAAAAATTCGAAATTTATACTTGAATAAAGTATAGTTTAAGTTCATAATGCGCGCGCTTTCCTCCGACATATTGAATGCTCATTATTCAAATCGCCAAGGAACGCACAGCATGGACGTAGCTGCACCCCCACGAACTCCGGTTATGATGTCAATTGAAGTACTAGAAAACCCCCTATGTAGCCAGAGGCCCCTACAAACGCATACCTCTCTCCACAAAGCAACGAGTCGTCGCAGCGTTCAGAAATGACGACGACTGGAAATCCGTGGTGCTCGCCAACGGGATAAAGCAAAGCACTGCTCGAAAATGGCTATATAGGGGTCGATGCTTACCGTTTGAATCGATACGCGCTACGCCTCGAATACTTTTACGGATGATGGACATTGGCATGTGATGCATGTTTCATTTCGACTGAATTTTTATTGAGTTCAATTTTTAATTTGAATTATTTCATTTTCATCGGGCACACGACACAATTCTTCGGGCAGATGAACATTTGCTTGGGCACACGGCTAATTTTATCGGGCACACCGCCAAATATATCGGGCACACGACCTCGTTGTGCCAAATTAAACGGGCACATGGCTAATCATATCGGGCACACCACCAAATATATCGGGCACACGGCCAAATACATCGGGCATTCGTCCAACTTAACTGCAAAATGGTGTAGTATATAATACACATTAGGCCGAGTTTGGATGCCACAAAAAACAATACTGTCAAAAAATATGCTGACAGAGAATTCCCTTTTCAAATGGGGGGTGAGAAAATATTTTCAAAATATTTTGAAGCGACCTCTGGATGCCATGATGGAACGAGAACTATCGATAGAATAACATGCAGGTAAAAAATGGACAGTTGCAGTTCAAACTTCTGTTGTCAGAAAACAGTAAATACTCGACGTATTATGTCACTTTATATATGTCTGATTTGGTAGTCAAACACACAAAAACTGTCATAATATTTCTGAAAATTTACAAAAAGTGGCGTTTTCTGACATTTTTTGTGGCAGCCAGATGGCCCTAATCAATCTTGATATATGTGATATGTTTATAGTTACATAATATACATGTACTGTACGTCATTCATTTCAAATATGTATAAAGAAGTACATTATTCATTCAATATCGATATAATAATATACATGTGACAAAACATTATACTTATGTACATTCCAGTATATACATCATTCGTCCCAAATAGAATATGTAAATATATATATATAATACCTACATCGTTCACGTCGGCCTTGTAACCAGAAATTGCCCCCTTGTCCGCTGAAGTGGTAGGGAAGTCTCAGGCACTTGGCTTGAAACACGAGGGAAGGAGCGCTTTTGTCGGGGGAATCGAAAGGTGCTCACGAACGAAACTCGGACTCGTCAAAGCCCAACGCTTTGGCAAATTTGTCGTCGGGGTATTTCATCGACGTCTTGGGCTTCGTTGGACGATTTGACGCTTCGTCATGTTGATCATCGTCGAATGCAATGCTCAACTCGGAAATTTTGATCGGAGAGGTCGCGTCGTCCACATCATTTCCCTTGTTTTCTACCGTATTAGTGACCGTGGTAGATGACAAGCAAGCGCACTTTCTTGGCAGTTTCACTTTTTTGTGAAACGGCCAAAACGTCACTTGATTTTTGTAATATTTTAGCCAATCATATCATTCCATCAATGATCCGGCCAATCATTTCACTTCGGAATCCGACGAATTGTTCAGCGTGTTGCTCGTTGTGCGACGTTTCATTGGCTGAAAATGATGGCTGGCCCAAAGTTTGGCGACGAGCACTTCCATTATATATGCTGACCTACTGTAGTAAACGTATTTTGTACTTTGAAGTATGCCTTCGCAAGTTGATGACCACTAATACACTCATATAAGGGAATTTCACGAACCAACAGAAACAGCCTTTTTTGTACGAGCACACACGAGCAACGCATACCACATTTCTTGGCCACATGAGCAACTTGCCCCGGATCGAGCCAACGCTGGTCGCATTGTCCAAACCAGAGCACCACTCGTCCGCGCCGCCGCCGCCACCACCGCTGTACGTCCCCATGTCGTTTCTCCCGGCGCCGCAACCCATGAGGTCGTTCGACGACGCCAAGCGCGACGAGCTGTCGCATCGCACGAACGAAGGCCAGAAGGCCAAGCGCCTGCTGAACGACGTGAACCTCGCGCGCAACGAGATCCCCGAGGCGAGTGTGCTGGACTCGAGCATCCTAAAGGCCAAGGAACAGGCGTTCGCGCGGCTGTGGACCGAGGTGCTGATCAAATTGGAGGCGACCGAGCACCGCCGGTTCCAAAACATGCGGTGGTTTCGAAAAGGAACTAACGACACGCTGGACGCGGTCGCACGGGAGTTGCAGCTCCGCCCACCGACGCTTGAGATCCCGGATCGACCCTCGGCCGACATGCACGTGAACGCGGTGGTGCTGGCGCTGTGGACTGAATCCACTTCGTCTGGGGGGACCCACCAGCAGCTCAACGCGTGGCCAGTGTTTGGTGGCGTGTGCTACAACATGTTTAAACCGAGAACAGAGCAGTGGGTAGCTCGTCCGCTGTCGCAGTACCCCCTCGCTCGGCAAGTGACGGTCAACTGGGTCACGAACTTGCTGTACTCCCATGTGGACTCTCTGATGGCCCACTGCGAAGCGCCACCTCCGAGCCCGAGCGACCTGTACACGACGATTCCGATTCCGACCGCAATCGCAGATCAAGACAAGGGTCTGCTGCAAGAGGTCAAGAGCGAGGTCCACATTGTGCACATACCTCAACGGAACACGTACCACCTGACAAAGTACCGCAAGTACGTGCTGTTTGTACCTGCGCGGGAGGCGTTCAAGGTGACGGTGGACGGCCGAAAGCGCCGAAGAGGCCAGCACTCTCACGACCAAGTCCACTACGAAGAGTTGGGCACACTCGACAAGAAGGACGGAATCATGCTCATGCGGCGCGGGTCCAAGTACGGCCAGCACCGCGGCGGCACGATGGTTCAGTCGCAATGGATCTTGTCGCGCGAGTTCGAGGACGAAGGAACCATCAACCCCGTGGTCAAGGAGCGGTACTGTACGCTGGCGTGCAGTATTTCAAGCGACATGAAGTCCTTTGGTGTAGAACACGACAAGTTCCAACACGAGTGGGCCAACTGGAGCGTCTATCAGAAGCGCCGGGTCCAGTTGACGGGCGGCGTCGAGACGGACATCGTCGAGCTGATTGAGATGGCCGTGTCCACGGGTATCCAGCATGCAGACACGCTCGAGTTCGTCCCGTACGACGGAGAAACGGGGGCCACGCCGCACGAGATGTTTAGCAACCTCGTCGCAAGTCTCACCACGCATTACACAAACGTGTTTCGAGACGCGAACACGAAACTCGTGGCGCAGCTGCGGTCGATTCAGCCCGGCGCCGTCGACACGAGAAGGGTCGTTGCTGTGCAAGTTGCTGCAGACGTTTCCCCAGCGAGGCCCGTGGAGCAGTCAATGGTGGCGGCCCCACAACCAACCATGTCGCCAACCCTGAAGGAATTAGAGCGTCGCCCACGAAAACGATCCAGGCGCAATGACGTGTTTGAAGCGGCCATCCTCCTGTCGTCCGAGTTGTACAGCAACGAGTTCGACGCGATGGACCTGGCGCGGGTGGCGAATGTGTTTGCGAGCAACGCCGACACGGCCACGCTCTTCTTGGGCTTGGGGCCAGCGGTGCAGAGAGCATGGGTGGCCGACCACATCGACGCGTTTCGACGGGAGTGACTGATGCGATTGGCTATGGATTGGGCTAATGTACATACATAATATACTTCGTATATTGATCCTAATGTAGGAATGTGATATTTTTTTAGTAATAGTACTAGTACGAGCTATTTTGATGGAATGGTTGACTAGTCACGGATGACAGCTTTGCCAAGGAGTCGTAGCAAGTTCTGGGGAAACTCGAAGCCACGGAAGATCGGCGTGCGACCAGCCCCTAGTGGTTTCGAAAAGGCACATGTGACACATTCCGAGCCATCGCGCACGAATTGCCCAAGCGCGCCCCCACCTCGTTGGGCCTCCCCCCGACCTTGGGGGTCTCGAAATAGCGATCCTCCTGTACATGCCAACGATATGGACCTATTGAGATCGTATCAGGGCCCGCGAGAAAAATACGCGCTAATTCGATAGGTGACCGTCAACTGAATCACCTGTTGACTGTACGCCCAAATGGACGGGATGATTGAACAATGTGAAGTGCCTGCGATGACTTGTTCCCAAATGTGTCACACAAGTGCTATCCCTTCGACAACATTAGAAGCACATCCGTCGATTAAGCAAGCAACGAGTGACATGCACGTCGATCATTTGCCTCAGTGGAGCACATATCAATTGACCTCATACCGCAACTCGTGGCCCCCCGCGACGCCTTCACTCTGTTTACGGGTTCTCGGAACAACACACCAACAACACAAAGGGCCAACACCAACTTAGCGATAGCCTTCTTGGCGTGCACTTGGTCCAAGGTTTGGAAAGTTGAGCCCTGGAATTGCAGGGGGAACTGGTCAATGGGATCGTGACGAAGTAGTCCGTGATCCCACTTCCAATCTGGTAGACATTTCGTCCGCAGTCTGTAATATATATGAATAATACTTTTGAAGGTCTACCAGTAGTATGTTGGCAGCATTGAGTACAGTGCCGATTTGTGTGGCATTTGTGGCATTTGGAGTTGCTCTCCGTAAAAAAAGTTGCGCAGTTTACATTTAGACCAAATTCGAATATCCACCTGAAGTTCAATTCGGTGGCCACGCCATCACAGAGGTGTTCATCATCTCATTTGACTGAAGCACATCTGTGACACAATGATTGTGAAACGCTTGAATTGTCGAAACTGCATTTTTGCCCAATCAGCGAATTAGCAAGTCAAATTGCATGTCACATACTACAGTATGCATTTTCGTGGCCAATACAGTAAGTAATCTGTCGATCTTAAAAGGTCACAGGGATACCTATTCTACGTCACACGCAGCACAGCTGCATAGCTTGACGTTATGACTGAACACTTTACGATATTCCAGTACGCCACTATGCACCACCAGTCTGAAGCCGTCGACGCCGCGCGCCAACGTGAGCGCGGTTGGAATGCCAGCCCCAATGTGCCATCGAAGCGAGTGCTACTCACACACGCCCAACTTGATCCTCGTGCCGCCTACCGCACTATGAAGAAGGCTGAGGTGCGCCGTCTCGCGGCGCAGTAACACGCTCAAGCCCTCGACTCAAAGGCGAAAAGAAACCAGAATGGAACAACAGCCCGATCCTTCACTCGAAGCGGCAAGCCAACTGTCTGAACGCAACAGGGCGCCAACGACGAGGTGTGCGAGTCGAGCCATTGCCACTAGAACTCGTCCCATGGAACGCAACTACCAAGATGGACTCGCAACGTGTGGTGGCCTCTCGCCGACCAGCACCCATGGACCGCCACGTGGTCGTTCAGGAGCGCGAAGCCCGCGTTGGACGGCTGGCCCGTCTCGTGTTTTTGCCAATTGACCACAAGTTGGCGTGGAACACCAGCAACCACGTCGCCTCGTAACGTGTCGTGGCGGTTCGTCCATAGCACCAGTGGATGGCCCCGTGGCTGCCAAACGCTCCCAATCAATCACGCTGTTGCCCTTGTCACCGCTCTGCACACGTGCGCATGGAACCCAAGTTCCAATAACCAAGTCCAGGGCCCGTTCTCGTGTGCTAAACATCTTGCAGGGTCGTGTCGGAGTGAGCCAGCCCGACTTCAAATACTGCTTTAATCTCATGCCACTATGCATGCTGGCATTAAGAAGCACGGCACTCTGATCCACGGTGGCGTTGTAACTGTGTGGGGAACCTGGTGAGATAGCCCATCGTCTGAAGGGAGTCCTACGTCCTGTAATTATGGGGAAATCCTACTTGGCCTAGTAGAAAGAGAATGTCCGAGTGCTACGCCAAGACTACTTACTGTACAGGACAAGGTCGTGTCGTCCATCCATTGTCCTCAACTACAGTACTTCAAAGCCATGATACGAACATATTAGTTCATCAGTAAAGCAATTCAACTTGGTATTAATACCAGAGTAAGTACATTATCAGGAAACTTCGAACGAACCCCCCCCCAGCCATTTCGAGCAATTGCATCCCATGACCTTTACTGGAACGGGGACAATTCCTCAGGGGAACGGGGACAATTCCTCAGGGGTCTTCTTGCTCTTAATACTGGACTTCAGTACAATCGATACACCTAGCTTTTCAACACGCTAACATATTATTGACTCGACAACCCCATTTGACTTGACATGGCAAAGCTGCCAAACGGCATGTCCTTCTTGGGCCGGCCGTTGTTGTTTGCTGCCGACGACGATGACGAAGACACAGCGGCGGCAGCAGTCGGGGCCGACACGTGGATGGGCGTGGACATCAACGACGTCGCGTCCGAGGGGGCAGTCGGGTACTTAGCCCACCCCATCTCGTCCTGCGTCACCCATGCGGTGCGCATGGTGCTCTGGACATCCACAGGTTGATTTTCGTCAACGCTTCCACCCCATTCATCATTCGGCTCTGACCGAAAAGGAGGAGTAGGATGCTGCTGCTGCAGTTGGGACGAACAGTACGACAGGAATTCGTCCACTGGTGTGCCCAACATATAAGTGGACCCTTCCACGACGTTGGGCGACGCGTTCGACGCTGGATGGTGGCGGTGGTGATGATGCTGCGATGGGGGACGTCGCCGCGGCGGCAGGTGATCGCTGCTGTTTGAGCTCGGCGGGTTGAAGTACGCTTGAAAGTCCGGTGCCCCCATGGACTGCGACGTTTCGATCCTGTCGTCGTTCTCGGGCAAGTTGACCGACGCGCACGGGTAGCAGAGCCGGACGCGGACCCGAAGCCCCGACGCCATGAGCTTCCACACGGAGCTGCACGGCCGGCCGCACACCACCTACCCACACCACCAACCTGATATCAGGGACATCAACCTATGGATTGCATGTATGACCTCGCCACATCGGCGGCAGTTGTGGCGCCGGCGCCGCAGATGTCCAAACTTGTTGTGGCAGACGTTGCATGTGGGTCGCGAGGCGGGGGGTACGACGGCGTGGTCGGGCAGAAACTGCAGCCGACTCAGGCGCGCGGCGCGGAGTTTGTGGCCGAGGAGATTGAGGTTGTTGCATTGACTCACGGCGGACATGGTCACCAAGTAGTCGCCGACGGCGCCACGGATTGCCCCGTTCGGCTGCACGTGCTGGAGCTCAAACACCTGCAGCACCCCAGGGCGGTCGCACTCCATGTAGATGAACCCCGAGTGCAGCATCTTGCCCCGGACAACGCCGTACTTGGCTTGTAAATCTGGGCACGCCGCGACTTCCACGTGCACGAGCGCTCGAATCCACGCGCGTCGTCCGTCGATGACGACATCGTCTTGGAACTAGTCACGTCAAACAGGTCAAGAGGCTGCGACGACGACAAATTTGTGTATGTGTACCTCTAGGTAGCAAAGATCGCGACGCTTGACCACATGCCCGCCGAATGGCGTGTCTAGAAGACACCAGTTGATGCCAAGAAAGTGGTTCGGTCGATTGGTCGATGGGAGGGCGATGTTGTACAGCCGAACGATGTCCATGATGTCGGGAAAGAACGCGAACGCCGACGCACGCACTCCGACCGTGTCGGTGGTGAGGAAGTTGGGGATGATGTCGTCGATGGTCGCGTCGATTTCAATGTGCGCGCAGAAGAGCGGGACGTTGTCCTGGCGACCTCGAAACAGCTTGACGTTATCGTCTTGGGCATGAAAGCTCCAGTCAATTGGCCCACCGACGAGCCGTGTGTACTCGATCTGCGCTCACGACTGTGACCCACACACACAAATGGTTGTCGTCGACGTACCAAGTCGAGGGCGGCCTGCTCGCCCAAAGCGGTCAAGTGGTCGAGGTCTGCGGGCGGCAGCTGCGGGCAGTGGAAGAAGTCCGGCGAGATTGGCACCTGTAGCGTCATTCGAACGAGAGCCAACCTTGCACTGCGAGACTCGCCGACAAACAGTAGTCGCAGAGTAAGTCTTGTCCAGCACAAGAAACAACCGCGCCTGGATGATTGTCCCCTCGTTACGTCATGTTTATCCCACATTGAAATGGTCTACTTGAATTCTATTGGTTGAAAAGGGATCCAGTGATTTGCTGGATAATGTTGAAAATCGGTTTCATGGAAATTACTGGGATATACTTGCACTGGCCAACAACCAAGTGTCATGTCACATTTGACTCAACATACGAGCGACGAGGAGTAGGGACGACTGAATGTACGAGGACCTGACCGTGGAGCACACTGGGGTGCAGGGTACATGTACAGTCCTACCTTGGTACACGGGGTACAGTATGTATACTGTATCGCTTGAAGCGGAAAATGAAAACTATACTGGTCAGTTACTGTACACTAACGTTACTGTGATTGCGCCCATCCCCTGAACTTTCTGAACTTCGAATCTGGTAATTCCCTGTGTTAACATCTCCCAGTACTAGCCCTGTAACCTCGGAGCCCCCGGGTCTCTTGTGTTGGCATTCCAGGGGTAACTTGCATGACGTGATACCTAACCAGTGGTTAGCTACATCGCAACATAGCCCCCTCATACATATATGCACTTAACCCTGGAATGAGATTTTGGTTGACACTGCATTTGACTATGCTTTAATAAGAACAAGTAAAATGTTTACGTAAGGAACGAGACATGCATTCCAGCGTCAGCTGCATGGATTATTTACTCTCCAAGTAGAAACTTCAATCATCTATTCTCGACATTAATAAAGAACCACTCCGCTAGTATTATTATCGTCATGAATCGACAACCAAGACGTGGCGGCAACAACCGCCAACTACCGCGTCAACACCAAAGCACATCGCGGTCCGCAGGTAGTAACACGCGGAACGATAGCATCGCGCCAGGGTTGTCGGTCGCTGTCGTCCAGAAGCATGACCAACCCACGGGGCGGCTGACGTATGGTGTCGTCGCAGCCACGTTGACCAGTTCGGCCGTGCACCCCCGAGGCATCAAGGTCCGCTTGACGGACGGCACCGTGGGTCGAGTGCAGCACATCCAGCCCGCGGATGCTTCAAAAGTACACACGGCATCGTCTTTTGCATGCACGGACGAGTCGGACTTCGTGCGACCACCACCGCCGACAACGTCGCTGCTCGACTGGATGCACCCTTCCCGTCGCACCCCCAACGCACCGCCATCGCAGCCTTCCATACCACAGAAATTCCACGACCTCGTCACCGCGCGTAGTACGCCCGCCGCTGCCATCGTCGACGACGAACACGCTACTTGGAACTGCGCCGTGTGCACGTTTGAAAACTCGAGCTTTCTCGTGTCTTGCGAAATGTGTCTGTCGTCCAAGCCCGAATCATCATGATTTATTCGTCCATGTTATTAATATATTGGTAGACAACTCCAGTACGATACACCGACTTGAGCGTTACTGTAATCGCAACCAGTACAGAAGTGGCTTCTACTGTAACGCCATTGGTATTTTTGTTATTTTAGGGTGCGTCTGGTAAAATATTGCAATATTCAGGCCCAAAGCGCCATTTTAGGGCCAAATTCAATAAATCTGATATTCATTGAAACTTGCCTTGCTTAAGAGTTTTAACCCAAATCCAATAGTTCCACGTGGGATTTACTCGTTGAAGAGGTCCAAAACGCCACATTACTACAAAATGGATCTTTTACCAATACAATACACAATACAATATTGATAAGGCTCTAACTTAGGGCCTGTTATGTTTAGCAAATGGCAAAGTGGTTCAAAGTGCTAGTTTCCTACTTTTTTATCTCTTTTTTTGCGATTTTTTACGCAACTCACTATACCAAAAATAGAAAAAGAGGTCCTTGACATCTTTTTCTAATCGGGAAAACAAAAGACGTAACTCGATTTTGATTGGCTCATGCTATTTCTGAAAATTGGAGTGTACAAGCTTTAACAGTAATTTAACAGTAAGTGAGATCATGTGGATTCGAATGCCATATTAGGGCTTGTGCGCGGTCCAGTTCGGGGCGTAACTTATTGGCGAAATCACTCAAAAGTCCAAATTCTTGGGTGAAATGCACAACGATAAACTTCCCCAACTAAAGTACTTCAGGCGACACTATGGACAGATGCGTCCGCATCACAGACGACATCCCAGGCCTTGTCTTGTCGATAGAACACTTGGTTTCCGCCATCAAACACCACAGCATGCTCCATGCGAAGGCGGCCAAGTGTCAGCGGAACACCTTCCACCGGCACCACCGCAGTACATCCACCGCCAAGCGTCCTATTTCCAAACAACATCGTCACAGCATCTGGATCACCCCTATCATCCTGCAGTGTGTACCCCAACGCATACGAGGCTTGAACATGGACGAAGTCCGTGGGTGCTTGCGCCGTCAGCTGCGTCGCCAACGCCAGCAGGTGCATGTGGCTAGTACTACTACTAGCCGTCGAGTCGTGGTCGGCCAGCTCTATTTTGTTATGCCAGTGGTGTCGGGGCTGGTACGGAAGCAAGAGCACAACACCTGTCCTCGCAACGTCCGAGTGGTTAGTCACGTGAATGTGCGCTGACGACACCACTCCAGAGGACAAAGCCGGCGACGACGCCACCCATCGCGCGGACACACTCGTCGAGCTCATTCGACGCACTACTGCCTTGCTGCTAACTTCCCCGGGCGGGTCAGATGGCGGCAACGGGATGGCGTGATGCCACGTCATGGCTGGATCACCAAGTTCTTGTGGAGCACTGTCACTGGTCATATGCCACGTCACTGACGCGGTAAAGCTGGAGGTTGTGGTGGTATAGGAGTCGGCGACACTCCACACGACTTGGAACGATTCCCCAGGTCCAACGACAGCGGGAAAGTGTTCGATTGGAGGTTCCTGGGCTATGGAGGAGGAGCAGGTACTAGTAGTATTACTACCGCCAGTGTGGGGGACAGGGCTGTGGAGGAATACGTCCGCCACGGTGATGGTGTGGCTGGCGTGGACGTTGGTGAGTTGCAGTACCACAGACGTAGGCGGGTCCAATGGATCGTGATGAAGGACATGGGATATATGCAGAGGACGCAGTAGAACGACGGAGGGACTGAACTTGAGTTCGTGCACCACGGGGCTACATGATGCTGGACTGACGTCAGAGACAAGCGACGGCATGCCGACAGAGTCCAGAAAGTCGTAGTTGAGGCTCGATTCTACTTGATCAAACGAGTCCGACGCGCCATCGATTTGAATGTGTACCGATAGCTCGAGAGGTCGGTCGACGAATGCAGCATCGACGTGAAGGCTGCAAGTTGACCGAAGGAGAAAAAACGACGAGGTCGACTCCCCATGCGGTTCAAAAGTGAGAAGCTCGCGCATCACCGTCGTGGACTTGTCAGCAGTGTACAGCAAGCACGTGGCTGTGACGAGAGAGCGATGCTTGAACCATGTACCAGCGCAGAGGATCGATGAAGGTTCGTTGGTGTGGACTCGAATGTAGATGAGTGTATTCCCACCTACGACAGGCAAGTCATATGAGGGCACTTGATCGAATGAAGGAGTCAGACGCATGTATGGACCTTCCAGAAGAGTCACATGGGGGCAGGACGCTTCCTCTTTGCGCGGAACTATCACCTCGATGTGTGCATGCCTCCATGCATCCACCCACCTCATGGTGATGGAATGGACAAATTTGGATTTGATGGCAAAATGTAAGCAACTTTTCATCATGACTTATATGCAAATTTAGACTCGATATTATTAAGCAACTTGAAATATAATATGCCGCCGGTAATTACTGTACTACTCCGGATACTGGTACCCTTGTAAACCAAATGTTAACAGCGCCTAATAAAATACTATAAAAATAAGCAAGATTTTAACTCACATTTATGACATATTCAAATCATCCTTCCTTTTCAACAGGGAGCGCGGGCAACGGCGGCGGTGGTGACAGCACATCTGCCTCCACCACTACAGAGCCTGAGGTGACAATCGGGTTAGCCGCATTCGCCGCCGCAGCTAGCTTCTGCTGCTGCTGCATGATCAGCAGCACTTCCAACTCGTCAGCACGATCCACTTCCTTGGCCGTGAGCTCGTCAATTTGTCGAAAATGCGCCAAGGGCACCTTGTACTTAATCTTTGGGAGGAGCCACATGAGCGCCCGTGGGTCAGTGTACGACGCAAAGGTCGGGCTCTTCTCCGCCGCATACGTAAGAGCCGACGTGGGGTCGATGAGGAATGCGCACGTCGGGTCCACGCCGGCTTCCGTGTACGCCATGATGTCTGTGGGCCGATTGCCAAATCCCGCGACGAACACTGGAAACTCGGAGGTGCGTCCAGCAGCTTTCATCGCGTTCGTCACTTGCTTGAGCACGCCTGCCTTGAACACATTCGGGTTCTTGTGCACCACCTATTCGTAGTCAGCACCAGGTAGGGTCGTGTTATGTGTAGCCCACCTCGACAAACAGCGCGCCGGCGAGCCCAAGTGAGTTAGTGACCACAGGTCCGGGGGGGAGCTGCTGGCCCGAGTCTTGACGCGCTTCCTTCAAATGCATGCGGGAGCCGCCGGCCCAGTTGATGGGGCGCGCCGTGAGGTAGAAGATGCGGGCGCCGATGGCATGCAGCTTGGAGAAGAACGCGCACGATCCGGCGTGGATGTAGTCGTACTGGCCGAGCCGGAGGGTGCGGATGTGGCCGCCGACGTCGTCGATTGTGATCGTGCCATCCAAGTCGGCAATCACGGCAAAGTCGTCTGGCCCCCACACATACCTAACCATCAACCACATTACTCCGGAGTAATACATGAACGTTCAAAGTACAGATTGCATTCCACGGTGCGAATGTACGACCGAGACGCACGAACGTGTTCAAACCGAACAAAGTTGGGCTGTCCATCCCCGACCAGCGGAAATCGATCCCATGTCGAAATGGGCGGCAACAAGTTGTCGGCATCGTCTGGTGTGAATGTGCATCGGCCGTACTCCATTAATGTCATGGTCGGCGAAAGCTTCCGGTCGTTCACGTACACGTCGATGGTGTCGCCGACCCCTGCCTGCGCATTCGTCTTGAACGACGACCATGAAAACATGACATGCCACGGCGTCGAGTAGAAACGGCCGTCGTTTCCCTTGACAAGGATGACGTCGATGGCATTGCCACTCACACGCCGCTCCTTCTCGATACCGTTCAATGCAGAGTCCGTCAACGGGCGACGAGCTGTGGGTACAGATGCGCTGCGTGCCCGCTCCAACTCGTCAGGGACAAGTGCAGGGCCAGTAGCAGCAGCACTATCCACTCGTCCGGAGATATGGTTGGAGGTCGATACGCCATCCTTAAGGGACAATGAGGCAATAGATTCGCCGTGCGCCGCCTCATTGGTACCCTGGGCAGTCGTCTGCATCGTCGAGTGCAAAAGATGTGATTTGGAGTCCTTTCAAAATGGATATATCTCCAAACCACATCGAAATATAGCCAATGAAAGGCTGCGATTGGACTACGTTATATTTAATTTGACAATTTACTGGTCTAATGATTTAAAATGGTTTTAGAATCATTTTTGGGGCTTGGACAAGGATTTTAAATCAAGGTTTCTGCCATATTATTATTGTTTGCCGCCAACTCCCATGGACGAACTGGTGTCGACATTCCGATGGGACTTGCTGTGGCATGCGATCACGGAGCGCGTCTACAGGGAGATCATCCGACCCCATGTCCTCTTGAATGGCAATGCAGACGAATGGATCGGCCGCGTCGCCGCATTCGTGGCTATGGGCGTCTCCTTTCGCTTGCTTCGAAGCATCCAAACCGCCATCGCTGCAGGCACATTGTCCGGGGTGGCGGCGGCCGTTCTCGTGTACTTTCGTCGGCGATGGAGAGCTCGTCGACGTACCAGCGTGCAACAACTGGCATCCGACACCACATCCTCCACATGTTCGTTCAGGTAGTACTATTATAAGCAACACCCGAATCAAAACAACATGACGTTCTTGTTAACCCACATGCTACACTCAGCACTATGTCCTTCTACTACGCGGCTGTCCTCCGGTCGAGTTCGCCACTGCCCATGTCGGTAGTACAAGCAGCACCTGCGTGGGGATTCACTTTTCGTCGTTTCAGTGCTGTGTCGTCGACACTGTCCCCCTTCCGCTTGATATGACTCTCCTGGTCTTGCTGGAGTCGCGAAAGCCGCAGCGCCGCGCGCTTGTGCGCGAGCCACGCGTACACTTCTTGGCGTGGCAGGCCTTGGCGGTGTCGGGAGGTCTGTGCGATGTCCGCGGCAATCGACGGGGGATGATTGTTGGAGGATGCCACCGGCAGCAGAAAGAAGAAGTAGAACGCACCCACTTGCACGAGGCTTTGGCTGGCCAGCGGCAACGGCGCCATATCAAACGTGACTTCGAGACCGTTGACCGACAGCGGGGCGAGCACACTGAGGCACTCGATGACAAACCGTTGGCGGCGGACGTCCCACCGGATCTTGGCGTGCTGCGCTGAGATCATGAGGTCGTCGCCGAGGTGGCAGTCAACGTCGCCGCCCGAGAACCCCCGCCGCAGGTCCACGCCCATGGTGCGGTACCTGTCCTTCCACTCGGACCCGACGCGGCCCAAGGTCGCTTGCGGCCGGAGCATGTAGTACGTCAGGCCTGGTCCCTACATCCCCCACATTCAAATCCCACGATGGTTGGGTTTCTTCGAAAAACAGAAGAATCTAGCCAATCACATTGCAGGAAACCCACTTCAACCAAGAAACAACGAATATTAGTGTGGGACTTTGATTAGTGTGATCCGTATCCTTCGGGTAACACACGTTTACATACAAAATTCAGGTACAACCACTCGCTCCATATTGGAGTTGACAAATCAACAGAACAAGAATTTAGCCAATCAGATTCACTTCAACCAAGAAACAACGAATATTAGTGTGGGAAGTGTGATCCGTATCCACTGGATCCATATTCGAGTTGGCCAATCAGATTGGAGATGATCGAAATTAGTGTGATTTGTTTGAAAGGCCAAAACGCGTACGTAGTACGTACCACGAGCTTGGCGTAGCCGACGGGTTCAAACTCGAGCGATTTCTTTCGTCGGGGGTCTGTGGCCACGAGCGTATGTTGGAACTGCAGCGTCGCGAGCCGGTCGCGGACAAACGTGCGTTGCCACAGTGACGTGGCGTGTCGTTCGTGGACCACGGCGTCGTGCACACTCTTGAGGCTCTGGTTGAGAAACTTGGCATTGCATCGCAAGCATGTGATCTTGAGAAACCGGTTCAGCTGCGCTTGGAGTCGCACCGACGGGGCCAGCGCCGACGCGGCATCCACCAGTGTCTCCATCTCCCACAACGGAGTCGTCGTCGTCGGCGGATGCGGCACGGCGGGCGTGGCGGAAGAAGTCGTCGTGCTGGTACTCGACCGCGGCGTGTGCTGGTGGTGAGGCTCGTCGTACAGAAGGTCATCGTCGTCGTCGTCGTCGCCGTCTTCCTGGCCTTGGTTGAGCAGTACCACCTTGGGCGTGACGCACTTGCGGCTCTTGCACGACTGTTTGCGAAGTCCCGGGCCGCCGTACTTCTTCATGTCTTGGCAGTGCCGGCACTTGAGGCAGTCGCCGGCGACGCAGCCCACGCACACCCCGCACCGCATCACGCGCGTGCGGCTGGCGGCACCGCGACTCGCTTTGGACTTGGCGGCGTGGGGCGACTTGATCGGGGCGTCGTCGTCGTCGTCGTCGTCGGCATCGCCGTCGTCGATTGAGTGGTCGATCGAGTCTCGTCGCGGGTCGGCGCTCTCCGACGACGACTCGCCCGACGATTCCGACTCGTCAAACTCGACGCGCACTTTGGACGAGTCGTCGTCCCCGCCCACGGACCCGAGCACTTGGGGGTTCGTGCACTTGCGGTTCTTGCACGACTGTTTGCGAAGTCCCGGGCCGCCATACTTTTTCATGTCCTGGCAGTGCCCGCACTCCATGCAGTCGCCCGAAACGCACCCGGCGCACTTGCCACACCGCGTCACGCGCTTCTTGCCGCCGCCGCCACCCGTCGATCGGCGCGACGGTTTCGCCGATGCACTGCTGCCAGCGCTGCCGGGGGTGTGGGGGGCGGGGGTCGTCCACGTGGTTGCAGCGACCTACCCCAACCGTCAAAAGACACTCAGCATTCATGACAAGAGTGGGTACCAGTAGTTGTTCTGTGGGTTTGTTGGCCGGTGTAATCGACTCGTCGTGCTCTTGCCGCTCGTGGGCGTTGCGGAGGGCCATGGTGCCGCAGTCGACGCCGCACTTGCGGCAAGTCCACGTGCCTGGCGGGGCATGGTCCGACTTGGTGTGTTTGAGAAGCCCGCTCGACGTCATGAAGGTCTTGGCGCAGTGTTTGCATGCAATCTAAGCATACATCCATTCGTCAATATATATATATATATATATTGTCAAGTCGATTCAAATTTTAGGAGTAGCGCTCAGTCGAATGAGCAGCAAGCACCAAATCGACCGACAATCGATCGACCAATCAACACCCAGATTACTATTCAAGTAGCCAATCAAATCCACTCGTCGACCAATACACACTGGACGATTTTTACATACAAAAGTCCATACAAAGAATCGATCGATAGATTTGGGAAATCAGCACAAAAGTCCAAATTTTCGGGAAAAGGACTATATATATATATATATATATATATATATATATATATACATGGTACGTACGAGTTTCGGGTCGACAACGGTGGGTTTGGGCAGCGACAGCTCGATCGACGACGACGGAGTCTCAAACAGCATGGGCGTCGTGGGGGTCCGCAGCATCAGTCGCTTGGTGTCCACGACGATCTTGGCGTGGGAGTTCCGCCGCTTGTACTTTTCCAAGTAGTCCATCTCAGATGGGCCCTCCTTTGACGGCGTCGCTAGCACGTACTCGATCGAGGGCGTCGAGTCCAACGCCATGAGCACCGCGCGCTCGTCGGCAGTCACGTCCAGCGTGTGCCGCGTCGCTTCGTCCAGCGCCTCGGACGGCCCCACGCACACGCGCTGCACAATCGATCGAAGCGAGTGGACGGCTACGTCGTCCAGCGCAGCTGTGCCCCACGCCTGCGAAACCCCCCACCCAGATCAGTACTTATATATAGACTTCGTATGGCTTACCATAGTCTTTTGCTTCGAGTCGAACAACGCAGGTGCGACGAAATGCAACAATAGCCTCAAGTCCACTTTTGCCTCAGTAGATAGCATGAGCCACCTCTGGCGGCAGCGAAGGCCGAGGGCGCGGCCCGACCACGGCGGCGACGGGTACCCGTCCTCCTTGTCGTCGACGGGTCGTCGGGGGGGTGCATGGTCGCATGTGACAACCTGCCACAGCACCGACTCCAAGTCCCCCGCGGCATCTTGCTCCAGCGTTTGGGGATGGGTCAGCACCACGTGCACTCTGGGGGGTCGCCACATCGTCCGCATCAGCTTGCGGTCGTCGGGGCGTCCCCAGTACGACACGACTCGCACAGACGACGACGACGCAAACGCGGCTTCCCATTCGAGTACATGCGGCGTCACAACCAGCGACGGCGGGCCCGACGCCACGCCCCCCACCAACAACGCGACCATCTATCGACCTGTCATAATCATCATGGAATGAATCAATCGACTTACTTGATCGTAGGTCGTCGGGCTGCCCAATACAAGGAGGCCATTCACGCCTTGGTGGGACAGCGCCGCCATGCGACGATGATCATGGAGGTCGTCGCAGCGAGTGTCGATGTTTGTGTTCCATGGATCCTCCCGAGAGGCTCTCTTTTGACCAGTCTGTACCCAATCCCACGTGGAACTGCCTTGGAATGGATTGGACACGTCCATCAGGATGGGCGCTCGTTGACACTCGTTTGGCAGAGTTGGAAGGTCGGCCACGTGGCTATTTCATCATGCGACACCGTAAGATACAAAGCGTGTCGTTATCTGCATACCGACGATGATGACACCGGAGCTTGCAGTCGGCGTCGAATTCAGCTAAATCGTCGACGTGGTCGCGGTACAGTCTGCTCGCGTTGGTCTCGGCAATATTAGTCGCCTCTTGGTGTGGGCCATGGTTCTACATATATATATCATCATGAGAATGTACAAGTTTGACGTTCGATGCATATATCACGTACAGCAATGGATGGTCGAGGAGAGCTGCCGAGCAGCAAGTCGACGAATACATCGGCTTCTTCTATCAGGTACTGGACGAGCTTGGCGTTGTCGGCGAGGATATCCCTTGGCCGAGCGATCTACACATACGTTTCCACATCGGATCACGACTCACCAAAGAACGCCGCACCATGATGGGGTTGTGGCCGTTGCTCGTGGTGGTTGGCAACGGTGACGACAAGTTCTCATCACCCTTCGTCATGGTTGCATTATCTCCGAGCGAGTCGTTCGATTGGGGTCTGGTCTGGCGCTTCAGCTGCAAATCTCGACACCGCGCGGCCAGGTCCCGCAGCGCGGCCTTGCGACGGCCCAAGCGCTCGTCCAAGTGGGTCGCCGCGGTCTCGACGGCGGACGTGCCTACGATGTCGTCCCGCCACACGTCGGACGCGTCGAGTTCGAGCTTGCGGTTGCGCATGGCATTCAACTTCCTATGAACAACCCCGTCGATCAAACACATGAGAGACGGATGCAAGGATGAAGGATGATGTATACCGTTGGTGCTGCTGAATAAAGTATTCCTACAACGACCACCAAAGAGTTAGGAAATATGCAGAAAGAGAGGGCGGTGTGGCGTACGCGGTAGTCGTTGAGGTCGTCGAGCGCTTTGGACTTGAGCACGGCAAAGATCGCATCCTTGCGGCCTTCGAGAAGCCGTTCCTTCCACGCGCCAAAGCTCTCTGACGTCGACTGCCGCTTCGGCAGGTGATGGTGAGGAGCACGGTGCGCCAGCGTCACCTGTCCCACTTGTTGGTGGAACTTGCGATCCCGCTCCACGCGGTCCATCGTGCTGTTCGAGAACGCGGCATTGTATGCCTTCTCCAGCGCATCGTATACCCCTTCATCGGACTCGTCGGGAACGTCGTCGTACACGTCGCCCAGCAGCGCGCCTTGGTCTGGAAACCGGCCTTGGAATTCCGTGCCGACCAAACACGCCTCCAGTTCCACCTTGCCGATGTGCTTCTTTCTCGCCGCGTCTTCCTTGACGAGGTGCGGTGATGCTGCTACTTCTTGCAACTTGAATGCGCTACCCGTCTCGACCACATCCACAGCATGTGGATGGAACTCGACATGGGGGGTACGAATTTCGAGCGAATTGCTTTCGGTCAATTGCAGCGCCATCATCGGGAGGTGGTCCACGCGCAACAATCGCCGCTTCATGTCCATCGTCGCTGCAGGTCCTACGACAGATAGGCCGCCCTCGCTACCTTCGCTCGCGTCCTCCGGACCTCAGGCCGAGAAACGCAGAAATTAAATTCCCGTGCAATTTAATTGCGGAAACGGCGCAACGTCGAGCGCCTGCCACACAAAACGGAAAAAAACTCTCGAACCACATCGGATTCCGAAAATGACGATTCAATTATAGAGGTAATTAGATTCCAAAGGTTATATTTGAATAGAGGTTTGCGAGATCTTGGGCGATCACAAACATGGACGTGGCGGTCGCAGCGTACATCGAGCGGTACGGCACTGTGGAGGACATTCTCGTCCTTGATCTAGGTACATCATGTGCACGACGTGTCAAGGCGATCACTTTCATGTATGGCATAGTGAGCTGTGAATGGAGACGGTGGGCTAGAGACCAGCTGCGGTGGCGCACCCGATTCCAACGATTGTACCTCGAAGAGTTTACGTTCCTTGCTGGTGAGCAGGACGAAGCTGCCGACTCGCAAGGTGCGCATAACACTTGTTTTGTGTCATGTGTAATGATGTTGCTCTCCGAGCAGATTGGAGGCTTGTGTGCGTGCAACACGACTTGGGCTACGCAAGCGGCTATCACTTGGGCGCGTTCACCGCCCAGGTTAGTTAAAGCGACGTGCTTGTGCTTTACCTTCACCTCTGGCGTAGGACGAGGCTTCAATGCTGCGATGGCTCTTTGTGACAAGACAAGCGATCAATCGAATGTCACGGACGATGACCGATGTGTTGGCGACGTCCCCGCCCGAACTGATGCCGCTCCACGAAGCTACGTATTGGCAGCGCTCTGAGGAGCACTTGAAGCTCCTTCAAGACAGCGTAAGCCTTCATTCTTCATTGTTCTCACTTCTATAAAGCAATCAAACGTAGCTGGGAGGATGGACCGCAGGGGAGTCGTCCGCATGGCATCCCGAGTGGAATGTCAAGCTAGCCGACCACGTCCAAACTATCAAGAAACTGCACAACCAAGCGCAGTGGAACGCCAAGTACTTTAAAGTATTGCTGTTTCCATATTGTATTATATGGCAAAGTCGAGATATTCTCGTGTGGTAGGTCCTAGAACCTCCGTTTCAAGCGATTTTAGCCACAGACATGACGCAGATCCCGTTCATTGTGCCGCCCATGATCAAGACCCTCAAAATGATGTGGTCTTCCAGCAAATACTACAAAGATTGCTTCAAAATGGTACCTCACATCCCATGCTCGTCCAGCTTACACTCGTTCTTGCTGAGCAACTCAGGGCGGGTTGCTCTGTCGAATTGCCCAAGCACTATGTGTCCGTGTCTGCCGTGCCATCTCCATCACGGCACTGTTGCAAGTACTGTACAATATATATATATAATGGCGACTTTGAAATATGTTTAATATGGATATTTTGATATATATTTTTACACCAGGGCGACGACGACTTTCAAGACTCGATCGACGTGGTCGAAAGCGCGGGGGTCATGTTGGCACGGTGCGAGATAATATATATTTATCATTCTGCATATATTAATATATTCCCATCGTGATGTGCGATACGGTAGGTGGCACGACGTGTACGACCCGTCGTCGACTGTGTGGGGTCCGTTCGACATGTACTCGCTGTTCCATCGCGTGGACTCTGTGGCGCAACGCTGCTCCGAAGTGCGAAGTGCCCTTGTCCTCTTAAGGCAAGTTCGGACGTTCATGGTATGTCATCGAAAATACTATTGTTGGTATCCTGTTCACATTTTTATACAATGTATACTATACAAATGTGAAGCTAAATATCTTGACTGGGCCAAACTGTTGGGCCAAATTATACTACTCGAGGATTGGTTGATATAATTGCTCGGTAGTGCACTTTGATTGGTCAAAAATATAATCCTTCGATTTGGCACGAATATCTCTGTTATTACTAGATTGACAAAGTGCAAAACTGCGACGACGGAAGCCACATCGACCCTTTTGAACGGATGCTGCAGGACATGGACCGAGACCTCCATCGGCATTGGGGGGCAATCGACGATGTGTTTGCCGAGCGGCACACAGCCACGTGGCAGCATGGCATGGCTGCTCTCCGCACCCACTCGGACGCGCTCCTCCAGTTTGTGCATCGCCTCCAAGACAAAGTTCCTATTTATTAGATTGCAGCAAACATACAGTATTGCCGCGTATTCTGGTTGATTCCCGTTCTGTCTACTCGTCTGGACGACGACGCCATATGCTTATAAGAAATAGTCTGGCGCGGGCTTCTTGGATGGTACCCCGCGCGCATCTTGTGGCGCGGCTTCGAAGATCTAAGGCAGAACAAGGGCATGTTGCTGGGGTTGTCATCGTGATGATGTGCGTACCTTGAACTTTTGCTCGAGGCTTTCATCCAGCTCCAAAATAGCCGCGACGTTGCCGCAGCGATAGCAATAGTTGGGCGCCGACCACACCGTGACCAGTGCGTTGTTGAACATGGACTTGTGGCCTTCCATGACCAGCTGATGGGCGCGGCAGATCAACTGGATGTCGTTTGTCTGGTTGAACTTGTCCACGACGTCGCCGCCAAACAAGTACCCCGCCCCGCGCGGACTCAATCCCCATCCGTCAATGTCTACCAAGCACACGGGATGATAATCAGGTCGGGGCCAGTCACATGCATGTATGTACCTTCTGGGTCGGACCACATGAGGTCGCACATGGCGCCGTCGTGCGGTACTTCCTGTTTTCGGTCGATGATGCGGATTTGATCGAGCGTGTTGATCGAGGGAGACAGACCGCCGTGCACACAGAAGATCTTGTCCTCGATGATGGCCGACAAACTCAAATAATCGAAAATCTCTGTGCAGTAGCGCCACACGTTGACGGACCCGTACTTCCGCAAGCATTCGTCGTAGAACCCGTACACTTGCGTGATTTGGCGCGATTCGTGGTTGCCTCGGATCAACGTGATGCGGTCAGGGTATCGCACCTACGCATGGCATGGACAAGAACGCGTTAGCTCAGGCTGAGGGACATATGACGAAAAGACGTCGGACCTTGAGCGCCAGCAAGAGGAGGAACGTTTCCACGCTGTAAAATCCGCGATCGACAAAGTCCCCCATGAAGAGATAGTTTGTTTCGGGGCATTCTCCTCCGACATTAAACAGTTCCTTCAAGTCGTAAAATTGACCGTGGATGTCGCCGCAGATCTACAGCAGGAGAACTGTTAACGACCCGCTGATCATAGAAAATGCACGCATCATGACACGAGAGATTTCAAGGGGTTATTTCATGGTCGTCTATGTTGTAGAAGTCGACGTACGGTGACAGGGGCATCGATTCGCTGGACGTTACTCTCGTCCACAAGAATCTCTCGAGCCTTTTGACACAACGCCTTCACTTCGGACTCCTTGAGGTACTCACATCGCTTGAGTTGCTCAATCTGCCTGTCCAAGTCCCCCATGGAGGTCGCCCCGGGCGTGCCGCCAGTGCTGCTGGGACTCACGGGCGTGCTCGAGCTCATGCTGCTGAAAACCTGTTCTGAGGCAAATGAAGCGTGGAGGGCCCCGAAAGAAATGCAAGTCGCCGTCTTCCCTGTCAGAATCTATACCTTTTCTCTTTTCAAGTTCCGGATGTTTTTGTAGCCCCATCGGTGTCGCGAGTTTACCTGTAACAATTGATGTTTTTTACTACGTAGTAAATGCCCCGTCGGCGGATCTGTCGGGGCGCCAAACACACTATTTATATTGGAACAATGAGATTGAAAATAGTGTAAGGGCTGGGGGTATACCTCCTCTCCATTCCTTGCTCTAAGCGACTCTGTCATGCCAATCGCAGCCTACAACGTGGCTGCATGAAGATGGATGTACTCCAAAACTCTTGCGATTGCCACGCTCGCATGATCTACTATGGTAGATCGGCTACTTTCATTCTCATATTATTGTCAAATCGATTCGAATCTGGAGCCGTCTGCAGAATTGAATGTTCTTGAGAGAATGAATTACTCCTAAACCAATCAAATCACGTTTTGTCGAATTTCTGCCAATCCAACCTTTTGATTCGTTCCAGTCCCGCCACATTGGGAAAAACCAGATATAGATACAGTACATACGAAAGTATTTGCTGAAATTGCTAACGTGATCGACCATTGATCGGCCAAATGACCATCGATCGGCCAAGGTGTTTCGTCCAATTGAAATTAATACGATGTTTCATTGGACAAAATAAATCCTTGTGATAAGTTTTACCTGTATAATATGATGGAGGTAAACAATTTAACGTTGAACAATACTTGCAGCTCTTACTCTGAATACGTATACCTGTTGAAATT